CCGGCGGCAGGACGAAGTTTGCTCTGGGACTGTGGTATGCTCTGATGTCCTCGAGGTGTTGGGCTATGCAGAAAGAGACTTGGCAAGTGGCAACGGCGAATTTTAAAGCACTCTCTCTGCATCAACGTCTGGGCAAATAGAAGCATCTGGAGTCAAAGGACAAGGAGCGAAACGAAGCCCTTCTCCATGTTGATTCAAATTAGACTGATCCATCTGCTGGCAGCTGGGCTGCTTGACCCACTGTGGCATACCCCAGCTGGGATTGTGGTGGATAGCTCCTGCTCCTGTGTTGACTGTTGGTGGCTGGGCTAATGGAGTTTACAAGAACAGGGCGAAAAATGTGGATCAAGCAGCCGCATTCGCACAAAGGACTCGCCATCGTCAACAACGCCCATATCCTCTGTGCTCCCTTCTTGCGGTAGAAATGCGAGCAACTTTGCAAATTGTTGGACGCCACCCGCATCCTTGCATCCTTGCATCCTGGCAGTTCACCGCAAAGTGCACTCAAGAAAATGTTTAACTTAAGTCCAAGAACTATATCTTAATTTCGGAGATAGGAACAGAGTTTTGTTAGGGAATTTTTAAATGATATAAATCATATATACATCCTTTACTTATATTATTATATTCATATCAAAGGTTAGCCTGAGTTTTAGCTAGTTTTCCTTTAGTGTAGCTGAACATGGGTAGTGTAGTTACCACATGGATGCCAGTGGGTCGTCTGCCCCCAGGACTTGGCGCTCTTTCATCAGGAGCAGGAGCTTGGGCAGAAGCTGGAGCCAAGACCGAAGCCGGGGCAGGGGCAGGGGGAAGGGGCAGGGACCTAAAGGTGGCTGCTTTGTTTATGTGGCTCCATTTGGGCGTATGCATGACCCACTAGAGCCACTCTGGCTGCCCACCAACCTCACCAATCTCCGCCAGAGTTCACCCTGTGGTTGCTGTTATTGTTGGACGGGGGCCTCAAGCAGTACGTGTGAGTGGTTTTAGTGTTGTTCTGGATTTTTAAGTTGTTTTCGTTGTCGTTTCTTGTTTGTGTTGCCTTTTTGTTGTCCTCCATATGTGTGTGTGTGTGTGGTGTGCGGGCTTTTGCCGTTTTTTCTGTTTTTCCTATTTTCCTATTTCCCAGTGTGTGTGTGTATGTTGCATCCTCGTCTTTAGTTGCAATTTGAGCATAGAAACACAGACACAGTTGCACTTAGTCAGTGAACGCTGACACCAATTAAGGTTTGCTGCAAGTTGCTGCTGTTGCTGCCACACTTGGCATAAAATTGGGCCATAAAAACGAGGAAATTCCGGATGCCATAAAGCTACATATTTACATAAATCATAAAATATTTGTATTTGTTAAAGAAAGTGGGCATAGAAATTTATTTAATATTTGAATTTGCAAAAAGAAAATGTTTGCATTTCTTTCTTGCATTTCATTTTAGTTGCCCCAAGCTAGAAGCCATAATTAAATGATTTCCATTTGATTATTGGTTAAATCTACTTAATCAATTTATAACTAAAATATTTACTTACTTAAATCAACATAAAATAACCCATTTTCAGCGATTTGAATTTTTAGAATAAAAGTTTATTAAACAGAGAAGAAAATGCTTCCGATTTTGTTTTGAGAATTTAATAAAATATTTAAGAAAATATAATCTACCTTTAAAAATAAAACAGAGGTAAAAAAAATCCAAAAATCGTTTATAGCCTTTCTATACCTTTAAGGGTATTATAATTAAGTAAGAAGCTTTAAAATCAGTGAAGGAGTCATTTCCGACCCTATAAATCATATATATTCTTGATCAGCATCAAAAGGGGAATCGATCTAGCCATGTCTGGTAGGAACAAAAAATTTCGAAATTTTTTTCTAAATTTTTTTAAGGTCAAATTCTGTAAAATTGGCCAAAAATTTGACAAAAAATTCAAAATTGTTAAATTTAAAAACACAATACGCAGATTTGTTTGGCTTATAAAAACTAGCACGGGAAAGCTTTCCGATTTGAAATTAATACATTTTTGACTTAGTTATGCTATTTCAAAAACTTGGATAATTAGCATATAAAAATATTGATTTAATATACCTAGAAAACCTTTTTTGTATTAAAAAATGCATGACATTATTTTTTGGTAGTTGTAACTATAACTTGGCAATTATTAACTTGAAATTTATTAATTGTAGATATACTAATCATTTTTGAAACTTATTCTGTACACCTTTAAATAATAATTTCTTGCATTTATAAACCTAAGATTGTTTTTATTTGAGTATATTTTGTAGATTTTTTTAGTGGAGAAATTCTATTAAGGATTATTCAAGTGTAGCTCCTGTAGGTGCTTTAGTGGCAAGTTGCTGCTGCTTCTGCTGTTGCTGCTGCTGCTTTTGTTGCTAGTTGCCGTTGGTAGTTAGTTAGTTTGGCTGCACTTTGTGCGTTGCATGTTTACAGTAGCCACAAAACATAATTTCTGTTTAGACAACTTTAGCCCCAGCTCCAATTGCACCAGCTTCTGGCCCAAAAATAAAAAACAAACTGAAAAACGCAAAACGCCAAACGGGAAGCGGAAAGCAAAAAGCAAAAAGGAAAAAAAAACGAGGTCATAATTATCGCAGGAACAAAGACAGCTCAGCTGCAACATCGGCCGCCGGTAAACGAAGTTGCCAGCAGCAAAAGCACCAAAAAGCGGCAAACACCAGCTGCATTTTTGGTATAATTTTCACTTTGGCTAAGAAACTTTTTCGCTGCCGCATTGAATTTGCAACCAGGAACCAGCAAGCAGCTAACAGCCAACAGCCAACAGCTAACAGCCAAACAGCAAACACATTGCTAACCCGGCCAACAGAGGAACAGCAACAAAGTTCATGAGTTGATTAGAAACTTTTTTAACCGCTCCTCTAGCAACATTCTTTAACCCGCAGCAAATACTCTTGTGACTCTATATGTATTTTCCCCACAGCAATTGATGCACTCGAAAAGAAGCAATTAAATAACAAGTAATTAAAAAGTAATTAATTAATAGTAAATAATTAATTTATATTTTTATGAGCTATTTATGAAGCTGGAAATAAATTAAGAAATATCTTAGAAACTCTCATACATTAGATTATAATAAACGGAAGTAAAATTGCTTATAGAACAGAATAAATCTCATTAAATTTTTGACTCTTAATATATTACAGTATAGTTTGATTTTTTCTTATTATATGGTTAAAAAATAATATTCTTGTTTTCAATAAAATTCAGATTATATATATTATTATATAGGATATAGTTTTAAATAAAAACATTACCTTTTTAAGTTATTTAGGGCTTTCAAAAGTGTTTACAAAATGCATAGATTCTGTGTAGTGGGAAAGTATGATTTCTAATGTAGATCAGAATAAGTAATAGTTTCTTTTTACTTAAATTATTTATATTCCATAAATTATACTTGGACTTTATAGATATAATATAGTTAATATTTTGGATATATTTAATTGGCTAAAATATAAATATGAACTTATTTTTGCCACAATTGAATTGTAAAATAAATTCCTAATACATTTATTGCTAGTACACTTTCTTAGGCTTTCCAAATTAATATCTCTACATCTTTAAGCGGCTATTAATATAGTCTTCTTTAAGATATCATTTCTTTTTTAAGATTCATTATTTTGTTTTAGCAAAAAAAACACTATAACTTTTGTGGATTTGCCATTATCTCAACTTGGTAGGGATATCTTGCAGTATATAATATTTTTCGTAAAGTGAGCGGTTGCTAATGGCAGCTTAGTGAGCTCTTGGTGTGCTTGGCATTTGCGAAGAGACCTCAATCCGTGGCTTATGTTTCGTCCACAACTCCGGCAGCATCATAGAGCTCATATATGAGTTCCCGGGTTGCCGGGTCTCCGGCTTTGGCTCCCTTGCTTATCGCTTGGCTGCTTTGTCGCCGGGCATAAACTATGCGAGCATCAACTTTTTGTAATTAATTTTTAATGTGTGTGCGAAATGTTTGTGTAAACGGGTGTGTTATAGTACTATGTATACATATATCAAACGGATGTCGTTAGAACGGTTTATCAAGCGCTCTAAGAGGCGGATAAGCTGCGGCTTTAGTTGAGGCTGAGCCAACAAGGTACCGAGGGATATGGTGTACTATATATGTATGTACATATACCTTTAACTATTTAGGTTTATGTTTGGCCAGGGAAAATAATTGGATGTAGCTTAAGGCTTAAGAAATAATTGTAAATAATTGTTGAATAATTTCTTAATTTATTTGGTCCTTTAATAAGTTACAACTCTAAGAACGTACCCATCACATAAACCTCTTTAAAAGCTGCTTTTGGAGAGAGTTCTTGCTTGCTTTCGCACTAATTGCATATGACAAACGTCCATGACATGGCTGGGCATCCTGCGAATCCCCTCCCCCCTTAAAAAGCATCCCAAAAACTCCTCCAAAAGGGGAAATAAGGAGCGAGCAACAGACCACATGACGAGAATTGGCATTGGCAACTTGCAGCAATTTGTCGGAACCAAAAATTGATTTAGCCTCAACTGCTAGTCTTCCAGTTGAAATGCACTTGGAGAAGGATTTGGAGGGGGATTAAAAACCTCTTTGAAAAATTTAAATTTAATAAATAAATAATACAATATAATCAAACATATTCCAGTATTATATTAAATTATTCATTTAAAATACTGACCAATGAGCTAAATTAATTAGCAAAGAAAGAGCTTAGAGAATACTAACTGATCAATTTAATATATTAAATCCACTCTATTATTAAGTAAACTATTAAATTTAAAACTCCATTAAGCAAACCACATTTTCCCCTAGTGTAGTTAGAACACCTCACCGCCATTTACCATGTCATGGTCCGTAGTCCAGCGAGCATCCATCCATCAGATAAACGTTTTGCTAGCTGCCATCGGGGATTCCCCATTCTCCGCCTTTTGTCCACCACTCACTCAGTCAGTCTCTCACTCACTCACTGACTCTATCTATCTGTGTTTTGTGCAACATTTTTGCAGAGATTTGCGTTTCAATCACATCGAGGAGCTGCCAGCCAACGCGTTCAGCGGCCTCACCCAGCTGACGACGCTCTTCCTGAACGACAACGAACTGTCCTTCGTGCAGGAGGGAGCCCTCCAAGGACTCACCGCACTGAAGTTCCTCTATTTGAACAATAATCGTCTAAGCCGCTTACCGGCGACCATCTTCCAGCGTCTGCGTAGCCTGGAGGCGATGTAAGTGAGCCTGGACCGCCTTAATTAAGGATCTCCGTGTCCTTGTATCTGTCCATATCTGCGGCAATCGCCTTAATGTCATCGAAACAGTGCTGTCACTTTCTATTCTTTAGTATTTTTCATGTATTATTTGTTATTATTTCTTTACATCTTAAATAATTTGAATTCACTGACAACTATGCACTTTATTGAATTTAAAAGCAGCATTTAATTTAATAAACATAAAAGAAAGGAATAGACTTATATTGTATACACTTTTATACATTGATTAATTGCCTAATTTTTTAATTTGTATTGGAGATAATGTGTATCATTATAGGGCATAAATAATCAATTCACAAGAATATTTTATAAAACCATATATTTCTTAGATACAACTTTTTGCTCCAGTAATTTCTTCCTCTATTGTTTATTTTTGTTAGCTAAATATTGTTATTTCCTGAATCTTTTCCTTGATCTACTTTTTTATTTTTAAAAGTGTCAGCACTGAAGTTTACCCTACAAATCGAAAATCCCCAAAAACAACCCAACTGCTTTCCCTTTTTTGCAGTTTTCTGGAGAACAATGACATTTGGCAGCTGCCCGATGGGGTCTTTAACAACTTGCCGCGCCTGAACCGCCTGTAAGTCGACCATGATAATGATGATGATGATGATGATGTAATTCCCCTCTTTTTACTATTGGGTCTGCCACTAACTTTTTGCTTTCCTTTTCTTCTTTTCTGACCAGGATCTTGTACAACAACAAGTTGAGCCAACTGCCAGTGGATGGATTTAACAGGCTGAACAGCCTGAAGCGTCTGCGACTTGACGGAAATGCCATTGACTGCAATTGTGGCGTGTACTCCTTGTGGCGTCGCTGGCACCTGGATGTCCAGCGTCAGTTGGTGGCCATTTCGCTAACTTGTGCCTCGCCCCAAGGACTCCAGCGGCAGAGCTTTGGCAGCCTGGGGGAGCAGCACTTCAAGTGCGGTAAGTCGAAGGATAACACTGAGAAGGGCATGGAATTTATAATTCAATTTATATTTTTATGGATTTATCTTTTAAAAACGCACCTGAACATTTTTACAGCCAAGCCGCAATTCCTGGTGGCTCCCCAAGATGTCCAGGCCCTTGGCGGTGAGCAGGTGGAACTCAGCTGCGAGGTCACCGGCCTGCCCCGTCCCCAGATCACATGGATGCACAACACCAACGAGGTGGGCGTAGGCTCTGAGCAGGACCGAGAGGCATCGCAATCGCGGATAGAACTCCTGCCCAGCGGCAGCTTGCTCATCCGCCAAGCCGAACCCTCAGACATGGGCATCTACCAGTGCATTGTGAGGAATGAGATGGGCGAACTGCGTTCGCAGCCCGTACGCTTGGTAGTTACCAACGATAATGGCAGGGAGCACATCCATCCCGTGGCCAACCTCATCGATCCCCATAGCAATCAGGTGTGGGCGGATGCTGGAACCAACAAGCCCCGCTCGAATCCGAATCCTGTGGCACCCTCTGCACCGCTTTTTACACATCGGCCGCATGACCAAGTTGTGGCCCTCCATGGCTCCGGACACGTGCTGCTCGATTGCGCCGCCTCCGGGTGGCCGCAGCCGGACATACAATGGTTCGTCAATGGCCGGCAACTGGCCCAGTCCACGGCCAGCCAGCAGTTGCAGGCCAACGGTAGCCTGGTGCTGCTCCAACCCACACAACTCACGGCCGGCACGTATCGCTGCGAGGCGAGCAACTCCCTGGGAGTGGTCCAGGCCACCGCCCGCATCGAGGTGAAGGGTGAGTAAATGACACGAGGATGGTGGGTGTGGGTGTGGGTGTCCGTGTCCATGTCTGTGTCCATGTTCGTGTTCGCAGTTTATTTCAGATTGCCACTGGGGTGCCCAGGTACACACTGTAGGAAATTGTACCAATGGGAGAAAATTTAAGATTAATGGAGGGAAACACTAAACTTTATGGTACAAATTGATCAATTGCTGGGGTAATAGAGATATATATAAAGAGTATATTATAGTCTTGGGTGGGACTTACATCTTCTTCACATCGTTGTGTTGTCTGGACTTCATAGATGGTGTTCCTTAGGTATTCCAGATGAAGCGGGTTGTCCAGATGAACTAAAATGGTCCAGTCATTCCTTTGGAGTTGAAGAGCCATCACCATAGATCCAAGCCAGAGGGAAGCGCGGAGCCGACTGACGCCGGCCCGGTGATAGCGCCTCTATTTATAGTCCGTGAGAGTCTTAGAGAGTTAGATTTAGGGGGAGATAGAATGAGAGTAAGGGAGAGAGTAAGGGAGCTAGTTAGGGAGTGAGATAGAGAGCGACATAGGTAGGTTGTTAGGGAGTGAGTTAGAGAGTGAGCTAAGGAGTAAGCTAGGGAGCAAGATAGGGAGCTATGGAGTGAGCTATGGAGTGAGCTAGGGAGCGAGATAGGTATCTAGTTAGGGAGTGAGCTAGGGATCGAGTGAGGGAAATTAAGATTGGGAGTTAGAAATTGGGACAGAATAAGAAAGGGAAAGAATTAGTCTAGATAGAGCTTGCTGCTGAGATATTTTAATGCTAGAAAACTCTGTTTTAAATGATATTTATTTTTATAGTATAATAAAGATCACAGATTTGGCCAAGGTATATATAAAAATTCTAAGCAAATTACCTCTTCATCAATTTAAAATTACTGGGTTATCTACTACTACTACCTACTACTATTATTTACCTCGCATCTCTATGAAATTGTTTATAGTATAATAAAGATCTCAGATTTGGTCAAAATATGTTATATATAATCAAACCTAAGCAAATTAACACTTAATCAAGCTAAAATTTCTGTTTTATCTACTGTAACCTAAAAATTCGCAAAAAGTACCTATTATTTACCTCGCATCTCTATGAAATTGTTTATAGTATAATAAAGATCTCAGATTTGGCCAAAATATATATAATCAAACCTAATCAAATTAACACTTAATCAAGCTAAAGTTTCTGTTTTATCTACTGCAACCTAAGAATACTCAAAAAGTACCTATTATTTACCTCGCATCTCTATGAAATTGTTGGGGGAACTTCACACTTGTGTCACCCATCACTTTGGGTCACAGTTCCGCAATTGCAGCCGGAATAAGAGTCACCAACCGGAGTCACAACTGTCGCGTTTTACTCAATTTGCAGTCGATTTAATTTGTTTTCGTCTGGGAAAAAGAGAAAATGGCAGCGTGCTGGCAACTGGGGATAGATATTGAGACCGGAGAGTTGACCAGGAACTGGCCACGGCCACGTCAACTGAGATTGAAAAGTCGGTGAACATTTGGGGCTTCTATAGTCACTGATAAATAGATTGTCACAGCTATATGACAGCAGCAGGTGGTGTCAGTGATGGAAGGGAAGTTGATGTAGATAAATCTAATCTAGGAAAACTTGTAGATTTTTTGACACTAACAATCATCAATGATCATTATCATCTAAAATGGGAGATATTATAATAAGCTCAATAAAAAAGCAATTTAATTTTACTATCCTTATTTTATATCACCGTATTCCCTCTTCGATTTTATTTCTTACAGTGCAATGATTTAATGCAATGGCAAATAGATTCCTTTCGATTTTGATTGGCGCACATTAAACGTTAGCTTCGAGCTCACTAAATAAGCCAAAGAAGTGCATTTCCGCACAAAACAGCTTTTGCACTCTTGAGCTTTTATATGTTTTTCCATTCGTTATTGCTGTATTTTCAAGCGGTATTTCGTACGTGACTGTACTTTATGGCGCCATAGAAATGGCAGGATATATCCCTGTATATACCCAGGGGATTGGTATAATAAGGGAGTGGAATGGGTGCCACAGACAGACACTCGATGCAGCCAAGGCGATGGTGCAAACGCCGCACAATGGCTCATTATAATTTGCGGTTGTCGGCGTGCACAAAATGAAGTGCGAAATTTATGCGTTATTTTGCAAAATTAAGTGCAAAAATTATAAACTATTATGCGCGGCCCGAGGAGAGAGAGAGAGAGCACGCACAAATTGCCAACTGCGGTTACGCGGGGGGTTAGCAAATGTGCAAAGTTGAAGGGGAAAATGGGGACCACGGGGCGTATGAACTATTTAAGCAGTCAAGTGTGGCGCTTGGTCAGCGTAATTAACCCGGCAAACAGGCACATCAACATTAAAATTCACATAAAAATAGACAGAAAAATAAATTCTATAATGTATATATATATATTTCAGGATATTCACACAAAATTGTGGAGCTAAGCTAAAAATAATATTAACCAATATTAGTAAAAAACACTTTAAATGTATACAATTTTTTGTTTTTAATTAGATTCTACATTTAAATTTTATTATAATGTTTAGCCATATAAAAACCAATTAAAAGAGTTTACTTTAATGATTTTTTGGGTATAAATATAATTATTTCTATGATTTTCCTATAATATTAACCTTAAATTCTAATAATTTAATATTAATTTTATCCCATCTTACTTCCTGAACCTAAAAATATGCTCTTACATAGTCAACCAATGGTCAAAATAAATATGCCTGTGAAAACCCCGGTGAATAAGTATTCAACGAGTATTTTGAATTGCATATTACGCATACGCCCCCAGGGCCAGGCAAAAGCGGGTCAAATACCGAGAGTTTGGTGTTGCTGTTTGGTGTTTGACTTGTTTAACAAAAGACTCCATAGAAAAACGCAGGCTTTAGGCTTTAGTTTGCTTGTTGCTGCCATTTGGAGCAGCAGAAAATTGCTCGAAAATCGCTCATACGCCCCGTTGAACCGCTACTGGTCTTGCCTCTTTCACTTGCTTATTTTCTTTTTTTTATTTCTATTTTGTTGTTGTGGCAGAACTACCCGAAATTTTAATGGCACCACAAAGCCAAACAATCAAACTGGGCAAGGCCTTTGTGCTGGAGTGCGATGCCGATGGCAATCCCCTGCCCACCATCGACTGGCAATTCAATGGTGAGCCCCTTGCCAATGGCAATTCGGCGGATCTTCTCCTGGAAAACGAGAACACCGAACTGGTGGTGAGCTCTGCCCGTGAGGAGCATGCCGGTAAGTAAGCTCTGGCGAAAGTGATTTCCCAAAAAAAACGGTTTACATTTCATCGAATTTTCCCAACAACACTCCTTGGGACACTTTTCCCCATCCCAGGCATCTATCGCTGCACGGCACGGAACGAGAACGGAGAGACGAGCGTGGAGGCAACGATTAAGGTGGAACGCTCCCAGTCACCGCCGAGGGTAGCCATCGAGCCAAGCAATTTGGTGGCCATTACGGGCACCACCATTGAGCTGCCCTGCCAGGCCGATCAGCCGGAGGACGGACTGCAGGTAAAAGTTGCCATTTGCTTCTCCTTATTGCTCCTACAGGTTACTCCTCCTCCTACGGGAATGGCCCATGGCCAACACCAACTTTTGTTATTTGCGCGCCACTTGTTGACGTTTCCTTTTCGGTATGCTTTTTAAGCTGGATCACTGGGAGCAAAAAAAGGGGAATTACTACAAAACTATATATAAGAAAAATTATATAATGGGTGCCTCTTTGGTGTACCTTTTCCTTTAAATTAGATTGTTTTGTCATGTTTTTAGCTAAGTAAAACTTGGCTAATATAAGTCATACATTGAATTGAATTACTGACTTGCCTCCCTTTTTTTCCGGTGCACTTTCTCCCCCTTTCTCCCTTAGATTTCATGGCGCCACGATGGCCGGCTCATTGATCCAAACGTGCAGCTGACGGAGAAATATCAAATAAGCGGCGCCGGCAGTCTGTTCGTCAAGAATGTGACCATACCCGATGGCGGACGCTACGAGTGCCAGCTGAAGAATCAGTTTGGCAGGACCTCCGCCTCCGCATTGGTGACCATCAGGTGAGCGCGAATGGGGGGAGGGTAATGGTTGAGATGCCATGGATGCGGGACAAAAGAGAGCAATCCGAATCAAAATCAAATAGCTCAACTTTGTGCGCCTGACGACCGCAACTTTAATTGCACTGTCGGAGGGCGGAGCAAGGATGAAGGCGGAGGGATTGCATGAAACTCCATTAAAATCAAAGGGAAAACTTTTGCTCAAAGGGGAAACTGCCTGCCTAGCTGGCAGGCAAACAGCGCTGTTGATGGGAAAAACTGCAAAAGAAAAGCGGCCTCTGATGCGAAGGACGCACTTAAAATGCATTTAAGTGCGCGGTAAACTTGCTTAATTAATTGAAAAAATAGTTGAAAGGCATACAGTGGTTCGTTAAGAATATAAATCACAAAAGATTTTAATCCTTTAACAGGAAACTATAAAGATTATAGTTGTTTTTATAATACTTTCAAGAGAAAAAACTTAAAAAAGTAGTTATAAGTATTGCTTATTAATTGATTGGTTTATTTTAGAACTAAAAAATGTTCTTAATTATTATACTACATAAACCCCCAGGCTATTCAAATCCTTAACATTTTAACAACTTTTCAACCTAGTTGTAAAAAATGCACAAAACTTTTGTTTGAAATTTATCTAAATTGGATTACAATTGTTGTCTGACCTCAAATGATTTTTTAATCCTTGAGGGAAGCTTCACAGAGCCAAATTGCTTGGAAACCACCTAAACCCACAAATATAGACAGAGAAAAGAGTTACGCTAAAGCTGTGGCAGAAATGGCTGGGGAAAACCCGGGGAAAACCATGAAAATTCTGGGATAAATTGAATTCCCCTCTCGTCTGGCAAGCATAAACATTAAACTTCACGGCACACTGGTTGCCTGTTATCAAAAGCAGTTAACAGCTGCTCAAAACTTGCTAATCCCTCTGCCAGTTTGGCCAAAAATGGATCCCAGGGATCTCCTTGCTGCTCCACATGGACTCCACTGTGTTGTCAGCTAAACTGCAAATAAAATATGCACCAAGGCGAACATCAAAAGGCGGCAAACGAAAGCACAAAAGTTGTCGTCGTTGCCGTTGTCGCCATTTCCCAGCTTTTCAGTTTTCAGTTTGCACTTTTCCATCGCAACGGAAAAACGTGCTAAGCCCGGAAAAGCTACGTGCCACACTCACACTCCCATTGCAGCGGTGGAAAGCGGCCAAAAGGCACACACACAGCATAAGAGAGAGTGGAAATTTCTCGGTGAGGCAACCGCACAAGTTATCCAAATTGCCCAAATTGAAATTGAGTTGACAAGTTGCAGGCTGTAACAAGAAATACTATAGAGCCGCACACACTGAGCCAAGTCTTAGATTGGTAAAATGGAATTAGTTATTCCGTTTTGGGGAAGTCATGTAGAAGATATTTTCATGTATATTTTATATATTTCGTAAATTGGAGACCAGGGAACTAGAATTCTCAAAGGATATTATTTGGAAACTGAAGCAAAAGTCTGATAAAGCAGAGACTTTATAATGATATAAGACATCTTAACATATTAACATATTTGATTTTATTTGATTTCTTTCTTTTGTATATTTTATTAAGGGTTTTGAATAAAAGTTTCAATGACATACTCCTAAAACAGCTTTATATTCCATCCTTAGGCTGGTCTTTACTAAGATCTTTCATTGTTTTTGGTATAAAGTACATTTTTTAATTCGTTTTTCTAATAATTATAATCTTAGTCCGAAGCTTGTAAAATCATGAAGGAGTCATTTCCGACCCTATAAATCATATATATTCTTGATCAGCATGAACAGGCAAATCGAACTAGGCATCTCCGGAAGAAAAAAAAATTTTTAATTTTTTCAATATTTTTTAAGGGTTAAAATGGTTAAAAATTTCCACAAAAAAATTGACAAAAAATTTAATTTCTTTAATTTTAAAATGGAGTATGCAGATTTGTTAAGCTATTAAAAACTAACATCAGAAAGGTTTCCGAATTAAAATTAATGCTTTTTTAACGAAATTATGAAGTTTTTAAAACTTTGATTTGTCGAAAAATTGGTCATTTTAAAATATCGTTAAATATGCCTAGAATCAATTTCCGGTTTGTTACTATATTTGAAATGCAAGTTGGTTTTCTTTCTTGTTAAATGTTATATCGTTTATTTTACACATGTTTATTTATTTATTTATTTATTGTTAGCAATTTAAGCTCTTATTTAAGTATCAATCCCATTTACGCCAGGAATACAGTGCAGTCCTAGTAACAGCTCTCAATTAATTCAATTTCTTCAAGCTTAAATTTTTCCCGTGTTGAGATAGAAACTAGAACTTGTAGCCATCTTCAACTTTTACTCTCCTTTCCTACGGACCAGTTGAAGTTTTCAAATTGTTTGTTCCGCAAAAAAGCGACACGATGTGAATTTATTGAGCAAATGGTCGTCGGTCTCCACATGACTCCACACTCCCATCTCCGCGTCCTTGCCGCCGCAGGCCGTAAATCAATTTGAGGCGGCAAAAAAATAAAGCAAATCCTGGTAGAAGGGAGAAGGGCAACACGGAGTTGGCCATTAACCGCCGACTGGCAAACGGAGACCAATGATGGCCCACAAAAGGCGAACCGCCAGGCAGCGGCTTACTTTCTGCTTACACAGACATTTTCCAAATGCATAATGCAGCGGAAAAGCTGGAAAAGGCGGGTGGCTGTGCTACACGCCAAGAAATATTAAACAAGTTATAGAGGAAAATTTAATTAAGTAATTAATAAATTAAATCCTTGACTGAGCTGGTTCTTAATTTTCAAATATTTATCCTTGAAGGGTTTTCTTTAACGGTTTAGTTTTTACCAGAATTTATTTATAAACTATTAAGAAAATTTCTTTTTTAAATAATAATAGTTTTTCTAGAATGCCTCATAAGTTTCTCCAGATTTTACAAGACCTTAAAAAGGATTTAAATACCTCACTAATATGAATTATTTATAATTCCTAATGACTCTTGAGTAAAATCCAACAATATATACTTTTTTCTTGGGGTGCAAGAAGGAAAATCTCTGGATTTCCATGTGTGCATGAATGTGGTGTGTGCAGCATTTAGTGGCACGACGGAAGCTGAATCGGCTTATAGTTTTTCGCCGGGAGCATTAGAAACTTTACTCATTACCGAGGCGGGAACCTCCAGTCGTCGCCAGACCACAACACCACCACCACTGATGGCGGGGGAGCAAAAAATTACAAAGAAAAGGCCCCGAGTCCGTAGTTTTTCCCCTATCGCCCAGTCCCGGAGAGTGTGGGAAAGCGGCACTAAAAGTGAAAAACTATGTTGGAAGACGACGGCAGGAGGTTGAAGCTTGAATCCGGTGACGGTGACGGTGACGGTGGCAACCGGCAGTCCGCAAAAAGTAAGCGAAAACCGCTGAAAGACCAAACCAACCGCGGCAACAATGGCCAAAAGCAACAACCAAAAGCACAGCAATCCGCCTAAGTTTGTGGGGCTGGCGTAAAACAAAAGCTTATCCTGTTACTGCTATTGTTGTTGCTGCTTTGGAACCTCATCCTGGTCCTGGTCCTGCTCCTGCTCCTGCTCCTGCTCCTGCTCCTGCTCCTGCTCCTGCTTCTGCTCCTGCTCCTGCTCCTGCTTCTGCTCCCAATCCTAGTGCTTCTGGCAAAAAGGCTAACCACGGAAATACATTGCCATACGCCACAGCATGTGGCAAAGGCGAGAGTAAAGAGTGAGGACTGTACAGGAGCGGAAGCCAAAGCCAACAAAAAACTTTACACAAAATTAGGCAGCAGCCAAAGTGGCGACAGCAGAAATACCTTGCTGAGAAATAAATAAATCTGATGGCATCTAAATTTGCTAGGTATTTTTTTTAAAACAGCAGTAATAATACTATTCTGTGGATTAAGATTGTATAAATAAGATTAGTCTTTTTCCTAACTAATATTAAAAATATTTAAAAGCTGAGAGGTATGTCTTCCCCAGTCTCTACTCAAATACTACATTTTTTTTCTTTTGAGTTAAGAGTATCCTTTATAAAGGAATACATATCAAAAAAATATTTATAGTACATTATAAAAATATATCTATACATATAAGATATATATATTAATAACAGTTCATTATAGAAATTAAAGCTTTAGAAATGGAATTATTTAAATTTAATTAAAGAGATACAATTTGGTAACTCCTGGACTTTATACAAATTAGAAAGAAACATATTTATTAACACAAACAAATAAATAGGTATTCTGATATTGATTAATATAATATAACATTATTTTATAGGGTTCTTAAGATAATTTTTTAATATAATAACAAATCACTTATAAATTAAAACCATTTTCTTTTCCTACAATATTTAAGACAGATTAACTCCTCAAAAATAATTCAAGGCTGAAATAACCTTACCCTTTTTTCAGTTTACCTCATTTGAACATAGCTTAAGTTGTTGAGGGTATTTTAAATACACTTTAAAATAATTTAAATAAATTCCTAACCTTAGTCTAAATATTCTCCTATAATTCCTAATCTCCACTCGCAATGACCAATGTCCAAAATACCCCAAAACAATTGTCAACTGTGCGAAAAGCAGGCAAAAGGGCAGCCACAGGATGGCAGTATAGAAATATGTAGTTGGCGGGTCCGCAAAATCCACTGCTGGCCAGAAGGGAACCAGAGCCAGAGCCAGAGTCAGAGCCAGGCCAGGACCAGTGATAGCGGCAGACTATTTTCGCAGCAACAGGGTGTATTATGGTCGTTAAGTTATTACCTACAACGTCGCCTTCGCCGCAGCACAATGCCAAAGTTTACACAGGCGAAAGTTTCCTCGAGGAGGAGCATTCCTTGGCAGCACAGCGTAGAATGCCAGGCATGAATTGTTGTTAATGCTGTGCCCTGGCCTGGGCCCACTCCCCATCCTTCTCCACAGTCAGAGCTGGAAAGGAAAGCGCGGATTTTCCATCTTTTTTTTGTGCTGGCGGGGAAAAAATGCAGCATAATTTCGTGGCAAAGGGAAAGGCGCAGAAAAGGGAAATAGACTGTCGGGCATTTTTATTAGACAAGGCAGCCATTTGGGCGAGTTTTCTTGGAGTCCACCGAATCTGCGACTCCTCGACTCTTGGTCCTGGCATTATGGTAATTAAAATGTGCAAATTCCTTAAAATATCTTGATTGTTTCAGCGCTTTGTGCTGTTTTTTATGGAGATTGTCAACTGTTGGTGGTTGGGAAATTAGAACAAGTTCTAGATAAAACTAGGTGCTACTTTCTTGGGGTTTTATAAAGTGTTGAAGTATATTCTTCTGTAATGTTAAAGCACCCTTTAACTTAATTAATTTAATTCGTATTTACCTCTTCCTTTCAGAAACAATGTAGACTTGGCTCCAGGCGATCGTTATGTGCGCATTGCCTTCGCCGAGGCAGCCAAGGAGATTGATTTGGCCATTAATAACACTCTGGACATGCTCTTCTCCAATCGATCTGACAAGGCGCCACCAAACTATGGTGAACTCCTGCGTGTCTTCCGGTTTCCCACTGGTCAAGCTCGTCAGTTGGCCCGGGCAGCCGAGATCTATGAGAGGACTTTGGTCAATATCCGAAAGCATGTGCAGAAGGGTGACAACCTCACCATGGCTAGTGAGGAGTATGAGTTCCGAGATCTGCTTTCACGGGAGCATCTACACTTGGTGGCCGAGCTCTCCGGATGCATGGAGCACCGTGAGATGCCCAACTGTACGGATATGTGTTATCATTCGCGATACCGCAGCATCGATGGCACTTGCAACAATCTGCAGCATCCCACTTGGGGCGCCTCACTCACTGCCTTCCGGAGATTGGCGCCACCGATTTATGAGAATGGCTTCAGCATGCCCGTGGGCTGGACCAAGGGAATGCTCTACTCCGGCCATGCCAAGCCCAGTGCTCGTCTTGTTTCCACCTCAATTGTGGCCACCAAGGAGATCACGCCGGATGCCAGGATCACGCACATGGTAATGCAGTGGGGTCAGTTTCTGGATCACGATCTGGACCATGCCATACCCTCGGTGAGTTCGGAAAGCTGGGACGGCATTGATTGCAAGAAGAGCTGTGAAATGGCACCACCCTGCTATCCCATCGAAGTGCCACCAAATGATCCTCGAGTCCGCAATCGTCGCTGCATCGATGTGGTGCGCTCCAGTGCCATCTGTGGCTCCGGGATGACCTCGCTCTTCTTCGACAGCGTTCAGCATCGGGAGCAGATCAATCAGTTGACATCCTATATAGATGCCTCGCAGGTTTATGGCTATAGTAAGGCATTTGCTCAGGAACTGAGAAATCTAACAGCGGAGGAGGGTCTCCTCCGTGTGGGAGTTCACTTCCCCCGTCAGAAGGATATGCTACCATTTGCTGCTCCCCAGGATGGCATGGATTGCCGCAGGAATCTGGATGAGAACACCATGAGCTGCTTCGTTTCCGGTGATATTCGTGTCAACGAACAAGTGGGTCTCCTGGCCATGCACACCATTTGGATGCGGGAGCACAATCGTTTGGCCAAGAAGCTCAAGGAGATCAACTCGCACTGGGATGGGGATACACTGTACCAGGAGGCCAGAAAGATTGTGGGTGCCCAGATGCAGCACATCACCTTTAAGCAGTGGCTTCCTTTGATCATTGGTGAGAGTGGTATGCAGATTTTGGGTGACTATAAGGGTTACGATCCCTCGGTTAATCCCAGCATTGCCAATGAGTTTGCCACCGCTGCCCTCCGTTTTGGCCATACCATCATCAATCCCATCCTGCATCGTCTGAATGAGACTTTCCAGCCCATTCCCCAGGGTCACCTGCTGCTCCACAAGGCCTTCTTTGCTCCCTGGCGTTTGGCTTACGAGGGTGGAGTGGATCCCCTGATGAGAGGCTTCCTGGCCGTGCCCGCCAAGCTCAAGACTCCTGATCAGAATCTGAATACTGAGCTTACGGAGAAGCTATTCCAGACGGCGCATGCCGTGGCACTTGATCTGGCTGCCATTAATATCCAACGAGGCAGGGATCATGGAATGCCTGGTTACAATGTCTACAGGAAGTTCTGCAATCTGACCGTGGCCCAGGACTTTGAGGATCTTGCGGTAGAGATCAGCAATGCCGAGATCCGGCAGAAGATGAAGGAACTGTATGGACATCCGGATAATGTGGACGTGTGGCTGGGCGGCATCCTGGAGGATCAGGTGGAGGGCGGTAAGGTGGGTCCGCTCTTCCAGTGCCTGCTCATTGAGCAGTTCCGACGCCTGCGCGACGGTGATCGCTTGTACTACGAGAATCCTGGCGTCTTTACGCCGGAACAATTGGTCCAGATCAAGCAGTCCAACTTTGGACGCGTCCTTTGCGATGTCGGTGATAATTTCGACCAGGTTACCGAGAATGTCTTTGTGTTGGCCAAACACCAAGGTGGCTACAAGAAGTGTGAGGATATCGCTGGCATTAATCTCTATCTGTGGCAGGAGTGCGGCAGGTGCAACAATCCGCCGGCCATCTTTGATTCGTTCATACCACAAACCTACACGAAGAGGAGCTCCAGGCGGAAGCGGGATCTCCATCAGCAGGATATAACCACCACTGCCGAGAGCTATGACAGTCCCTTGGAGTCCCTGTACGATGTGAACGAGGAGCGGGTCAGTGGTCTCGAGGAGCTCATTGGCAGTTTCCAGAAGGATCTCAAGAAGCTGCACAAGAAGCTGCGTAAGCTAGAGGAATCCTGCAATGCCGTGGACTCTGAACCGCAGCCGGTGGTTCAGCTGGCTTCAGCACCCGCTCAGCCGGTGGTGGTGTCCAACAAGCCCAAGAGGAGTCACTGCGTCGACGACAAGGGCACCACGCGACTGAACAATGAGGTGTGGTCACCGGATGTCTGCACCAAGTGTAATTGCTTCCACGGCCAGGTTAATTGCCTGAGGGAGCACTGCGGCGAGGTCTCGTGTCCGCCGGGAGTGGATCCACTGACGCCACCCGAGGCCTGCTGCCCCCACTGCCCCAAGCTGCCAACGAACGTCAAGTGAAGTAGCCACAAAGCCCCATGAAATACGCATATCGATGTACACGTTTATCCGTAGGTGTAGCCACTCACTCACTCTAATCAAAAAGCCAAAGAAAATCTAAACAAAAAAGAACACTCCGGCAATTACGCAATGAGCATGTTTAATTGACAATTAACTAACAATTAACAATGTAACAATGCTACACATGTAATAAAATAAAGCACATTAATATATCCCATAAAGAAGGGACAGTTTCCTTTAAGGGTATACCTATTTCTAAAGATTTGAAGACTTAGACAGGTTCAATAATAAAATAAATTAAAATAAATTAAATAAAATCCAAAAAATAAATGGGTTTTAAGTTTATTTTTGAAATTTCTGGGAAAGTTATTTGTAGTATAACTGGAAAAGAATCGAAATTATCAACATTTTTCTAGGCATATATGATTTTAAATTCAATATGTTTCCCATATCATATCTCTGAAGCCTCATTTATGATTACAAGTTTACATATTTGAGGTGAGTGGCCTTGGCAATCACCGAGTCGTCCTTTTTGTGCTTGACTGTGCAGTCAATAAAGGCCAGGTACTTGCCAACCTTGGACAGACGTGCCTCTACGACAATTTCGTCGCCTAATTTGGCGCCAGTCAAGTAATTCACACTAAGATCCACCGAAACACCAGGATGACTGGGCTTTGACATCAAAGCATAAGTACTAATCGTGTTCACCAAGGTGACTATATAGCCACCATGAAGGAAATTGTAAAAGTTAACATGTTCTGCGCCCACTTTCACTTCGGCAGTGCAGGTTCCATCGCCCCCATCCAGGATTTTTACCTTAAATTCGTTAAAGAAAATATATTTTAAGACATTCATATGTATTTAGCAATTCTAACCTTTTTAAGGTGACTTTCAAAACCATTGGACTTGGCTATGAGTTCAGTGATATGTTTGACGAATTCCACACCCTTTTTGCGAGTTGCCATTATTTATTTAATTTGTGTGACTTCTTTAACCTCCTTTAAGCTACTAGTTTCGGAATTGGAAATGTGCAAAATACAAATAGATACAAGTGATAGATAGATAGATAGATAGATAGATAGATAGATAGATAGATAAGAATTATCAATCACTTGATCTTCAACTTAAAGGTTGAGATAACTTTCCCGAAGCTGACGTCGACCAGTCAAAAGATTGCAATCGTTGAGAATGGATTCCTTTGATTTTGATGTCTTTATCTTTGAGTGCGCTTTTTAGAAAAAGTCAACAGGAAAGGTCAACAAAGCTAAGGTAAATACCAACTGCATTAATAAAAGTTTATAAATTTAACAGACGAAATAATATCAAAGAATAAAGGCTTGAAATATATTCCATGGAAGCAAGAGCTATTTTAATTTGATAACAGTTTATGTTTTAATTTAGAAATCCAACTTTTTTTTATCAAACTGAATGTACTTGACCTGCCCCCCCTTGGCAATGACCCTTCCATCCGATTTCCGCCTGATAACCAGATCTAAATAGGCCATTTTATTTCCGGCCCTCACAGTTTTGGCTTCCACTTCAAGGACATCTCCTAGATTAGCTGGCGTTACATAGCTCACGCTCAGGTTAGCAGTTACACCGGGATGCTTTCCCTTGGAGATCATGGCATATGAGGTGACATTGTCTACAATGGTGCCCGTAAGACCGCCGTGCATTACTCCATCGCGATTTAGATGCTCCTTCTGCACCGTGAACTCTCCTAAGCAATGGCCATCGCCGCCTTCCGTCAATTTGATCTATGGGTTTTAAAGAATATAAGACTTATCTTAAAATCAAGCTTCAAAACATACCATTCTCAAAACCCGGTCGAAGCCTTGTTTACCGGTAGCGTAATCGGCCAAATTTTTTATATAATCAAGTCCCAATTTCTTAGTCGCCATTCTGCTGGATCTGGTTTTCCTAAACTTATCGCGATGAAATGACGAGTGTAACTGAGGCAACGATTTCCGAAGACGGTTACGATTTACCCTCACAATTACAGTGCTGCTATCTTCCAATGATTATTTAACAATCAAGAGGTGTGAAGATAATATATATTTTGTAAAAGGTAAAAAGTGTTTTTTTTTAAAAACTTCCTTGTTTGAAAAAAATAAAATATATAAACTGATATACTAAGGAAAAATCGTAAAAACAAAAAGGTAACGAACCGTTCTTCATTGGCATTCATACTTCTTTCGTTGATTTCTTAGTTTATTTAACTTTATCGAGAAAGTTGATTCCCATTTTCAACCAATTAAATTGGTGACTGCGCAGCCTCTTTATAACAATTTCCTATACAAAATTAACGTATTTGAGTTGAGAGCCCTTGGCTATTACCGAGTCGTCCTTCTTATCCTTCAGCGTGCAGTCTATGACGGCCAGGTTCTGGCCCGCCTTGACCAGATTTGCCTCTATGAATACATCGTCGCCCAATTTGGCACCCTTCAAGAAGTTCACGCTAATATCCACCGAAACGCCAGGATGACAGGGCTTGGACATTAAGGCATATGTGGTGATCATGTCCACCAAGGTCACTATGTAGCCGGTATGCAGTAAATTACTAGTGTTTACATGATCCTGGTCCACTTTCAGTTCGGCACAGCAGGATCCATCGCCGCCACCCAAGATCTTCACCTTGAAATGAATTAAAAAAGTTGACAGATTACTATATGACTTTAATTATATGGAAACTCTCACCTTGTTAAGCTGGTTTTCAAATCCCGTCGATTTGGTAATGATTTCGGTGATGTGTTTGGCAAATTCCAAGCCCTTTTTGCGAGTTCCCATAATTTTTTGATTGGATGTTAAGTCTCACTCCCTTAGCTGCTAGTGTTTATTCTGAAAAATAGAGTAAAAAGGTGAACAGCTATGACATAATATAATGTAATCTCCAGGAATCCTTAACTTACCAAAACTACATCCAGAATAACCCCAAAGATACGAATTTTATTAGTCCGAAACGATAATCAAGTTACAAAATATAAACAAACAACAGCTGTTTTCGAGAGCTTTCAAAGAACCAAAGAATCGATAGATCGATAGATTGATTAATTTATTTGTAAGATTTAAACAATGTTTAGAGGAATTAGAAATCCATCTTTTCCTTTTCGAAATCAACAAATTTAACTTGTCCACCATTAGCGATGATCCTTCCATCCGATTTCCGCCTAAGAACACAATCCAAATAGGCCAATTTTTTCCCTGCCCTTACAGTATTTGCTTCGACTTCAACGACTTCACCCGGCTTAGCTGGCGAAATATAATTCACATTTAGATTCACTGAGACCCCGGGATGCGAACCCTTGGACATCAGGGCATATGTGGTGACATTGTCCACAATGGTGGCCGTCAGACCACCGTGCAAAGTTCCACCCCGATTCAGATGCTCCTTCTCCACAGTGAACTCTCCGACCACACGACCATCACCGCCATCTGTGATTTTAATCTGAGAAGAATTAAGTTAAGGAATTTCACTATAGTTTAAAACCAAATGAAGCGACAAAATATTTAAAAATCAACGGTTTTTAAAATCCCCGAATAGCTCACGATAGAGATGAGAGTTTTAAGACCGCGCTCGGTTATCGATAACTGAGAAATGTTATGTAACACCATCACTGGCTCAGCCCCAGCTGTTTTTTCCATGTGAATCGGCGACGGCGTCACTTGCAATTTTTGTATTTCTTTGTAATCTCACCATTTTTACGACCCGGTCGAAGCCCTGTGTGCCGGTAATGTACTGGGATACAATCTTCACGAAATCGCCAAACTTCTTGCTCGCCATACCACTGGACTTGGGATTCCTGAACTTTGCGCGACCAAATGATGAGTGTTACTGAGGCAGCGATTTCTGGCGGCAGCCAAGGCGTCGGTAAACGTGAGTGTGTGTGTGTTGTTATATTGGTGTGCGCGCAGACTGCCGATTATTGTGGGTTTTGTTGTGCTCGCTCTATTCGTACTGACAATAAAACACATCATTTTACGGACTTTACCTGTGATAATCAGCAGCTTTTTATAAATGATTTTAAATTACATACAAACAACAATATAATTCAAAGAATTCACATGTTTTGTATATAAAACTGATGGACATTATCTTCCCAGTAATTTATCTCGTTCTTATCACTCTACTCTTTATGCCTTAATTAGTTTATTGCCATTTCTCATGTTCTTTGAATAAATTTAGGATTTCATTGTCTTTAAATATTATATTTAACCTAATTTCTCCTCTCTTCAATCCCCCAGCTAACCTACAATTCACAGTGCTCGCCCAGAGCGATGCACGGCAGGATTCCACTGAGGACTTCCTAGCCAGTCATGCGGATGGAGACTTTATAGCCCTAATTGGTTCCAAATCGAGCGTGGTTACCTTGGAAATAACCGATAAAACCAGCTTTTCAGCTCCGTTTCCATATATTTTGGCGGATTTTGAGTTCAGCTCAGTGAAGCAGCGACCCCTCGATGTTTTGGCTAACCAAGTGAATCTGGAGGCCATATATGAAAGCTGTAATGTCCTCGAGGCGCAAGCTTTGACTCTGGAGCCAGTCTACACGGCTGTTTGCTCTGCGGCCGTGCCACCAGCGAAATTGAGAGCTGTAAAGAAGGCAAACGGATTGTTGCCTAATGGGAATCTATTACTAGCTTGGCTCAACACCCGTGGTGCAATGATCTTTATGAGCAAGCCCGCTGAGTACCCGGGCTGGAGTCTCATGGATAGCCTCAATGTGTCCGCCGTCCTGCGGGATTCCCTGCTGCCACCAATGAAATCCTCAAAAATCAACAGCTTTGATAAATTTCAGGCTTTTATGGATCGCGCTTGGATTACGATGTTTGCTTGGGTTTCCAGCCAAAATGACAAACATGTCTTGGTCTTTGGAACCGCCAATGGAAGCCTGTGGTTGCTTAGCCTAAGCTCTGATGTGAAAACCCTTTCTGAACACAAAGTCTTGGAGACCAGTTTGGATCGCATTTGCTTTCTACAAGTTTTCGAGGATCTCCTGCTTGTCGGTGATGTCAAAGGGATCATCCAACTCTACAGAGTTTCCGCCTCGAATGAATCCCGTCTAGTTCTAATAAAAGATCTGTGGAGCAAACCGGATGGCATGGGTCTGCAAAGGGGAGTGATAACCCGATGCCCTAAAAGAGGCTGCTACTACATAACTTGCTGCAAGGCCGCACATCTGCTTACCTGGTGCATGCAAATGTCCGAGAAGAGTGAAGAATGGCTAGAAACACGACTCTATGTTGGTGGAATGAAAATCTCCGGTCTCACTGCCCTAAGGCACAATAGTTACGTTGTGGGAAACATAAGCAAACACTTGCATCGCATTCATATCAGCCACGAAAGCAACCAGCTTAATCTAACAAAGCAATCCATCCCCATGGATATGCTCGAAAACTTCGAGGTTTTGGATCTCAACAACAGTTTAAACGGCAACCTGCTGACCGTGTTCCTTGCTCGCAACAAAGAGCACATGAACTCGCACTTGTGGCAACGAAATCAAATAGTTATGCAAGTGGGTAAGATACAGGATGAGGATACGGAAGAGGGTCTTGATCGGCTGGCTACCCAATTGAAGTTCAACGAGCCCATCAATCCATACAGCGACTACTTGGCAGAGCTGCGCATGAAGATATTCTCCCAAAAGGAACTGCAAAGATATATCGACTTTAGTCCATTGGAAACCTTTCAATTTGTCGAGGATGCTACAGAATCGCAACTTTTAAAGCTACAAATTAAATATCATGTCCTGAAAGCCATTTCCCATCTGCACTCGAACCTCCTTGAATTGACGGAGCATGCTCGAAAGTTTCTGGACGAAATGGAACTGCTTCTGGCAATGCTAGCCACTACACACATCAGACTGAGACTTCAGTTCCTACGAACATTAAGTAAACTAACGCCATTCCAGGAGGAGGCGGCCAAGAGCCTGTTTAACGAGGCTCACCGTCTAATTAGCAAACTTAAGTCTGACTTTCATGAGAAGCATCCTCTGAAGACCACCACAGATGTGTTTGTAGAACATATAAGCACACATTTGGAGATATTGCATTTAAAGCTGGGTGGTAATCCTCCTAGTCAAGAGTCAGGAATGCCTGGACTACGCTGTTGTGTGTCCTATGCAGAGGTAAGTAATAGAAATATGATAATATAATAAAATAGTATAAACATTTCTAAATTTAATATATGTATATATTTAGAGATGGATAAATCGTTATTTAAAAGCTTAAAATATTCAAGAAGAAACTCTTTCCTTTTCAGATCTCGCCTAGCTTGGAGCGTCGCTACTGCACTCTCTGTGATCGTCAGATCCTAATGGAGCTGGAGAACCTCCAGGAGCTGTACGAGCACAAAGACAGCCAGCAAATAATCTGCCCCTTCTGTCATGGCAGCTTCACGGAGGAGCTCTTAAATGCATAAACGTTACAATTTATTTTCAACCTTAAAGTACAAATGAGATTGTGTGTGTGTCCGCCTCTAAGAGCGGAGCGGATAAATCGAAAAGGAAAACCCACTCGGCTGCCAGACACCGACACACACGATAAGAATTGGATTTAATACTCGGAAACATAGATGATGGGCGTTGTTTCAATCAAAAGGATATCCTGTTCCACTTGACGCAAATCGGTCTCCAACTTGCTCTTGCGCAAGCGCTTGGCCTGACTGTCGATGAGCAGCGACATGGACTGATACTGTTTGGTCATCTCGGTGAGGCTCGATCGCAGCCCCTCAAGGATCTCGTTGCGTTCGGGCTTGTCCATCACCCGCATGCCGGGCATTTCCGGCGGACCGTCGACCATGGTAAGTGAAGTCCTTGTAAAACCCTTAATGCCACGACACAACTCCAGCAGACGTGCCTGCTCCTTGGCACACACGGCATTCGCTTCGGCCAGCATCTTCTTGGTTCTCTTGAGGTAAATCGGCACTTTACCGAAATCCTTTCGACTAATGTGCTGCGGCACCAAGCCTGAGCTGAGCAGATTGTGACGCGTTCCCACTGGTGTGTCAATGTAGCGAGGAGGCTGCGGCGAAATGGTGACCTTTCCTGCAGCTTCCTTGTTGCGCTTGATGAAATTAGGAGCAATCTTTACCTTACCGGCACTACCCGCCGGCGGTAGTGGCGGCATCGGTATAGGCTTCGGACACTTGTGAGTGTTCTCCCGTCGCCACTTGACACCCTGATTTTTGCGAAGAAACGCGTTGGGTGGATTAATGGGGGTGTGGGCATAGCCCATAGTGCGATGCAGCGATTTCTTGGCCTCGGTCAATATGCGAGTGCCATCGCTTTGCAGGATAACTGATAGCTTCTGGTCCTCATCATTCAAGCGTTCGCGAAGTTTCCTCGCATACTTGGCGGCCTTCTCAACAGTGGCTGTGGGGCAGGCGGAGAATTATTTTAGTATATTCCCCCCTCAAGCCTTGGTAACTTACGATTTTTGTAATTATAAATGGATGCCTTAGGCCCCGAGGCAAATTCCTGCTCACAGTCGAGAATGTTCTCATCGTGATGGGTGATGTAGACCAGAGACATGCTTATGCAAATAATATAAGGTTGAAAGTAAGGAACTCTAAAGCGTATACTAGATTTACCGACTATTCGTATAATAATGACAGGTTTGTTTGGTGTGTAGCTGTGCGTTGTCAGGTGTTTCTGGGTTGACTTTGATTGATTCAACACCAAACAATGGTTGCTAGCACTACATCCCAGAGCTAGGAAATAACAGTGATCAAAATAGATCCGATCAAAAACATTATTTTAAACAGAGTTACAGTTCTTAACGAATTAGACAGGATTTGGTATTATTATTGTATATATATATTTCTTTAAAGCACAATATCAAGCTACAGCTTGCGTTGTCGCACACATGTGTTACATTTATGAATTGTAAATAATTTGTTACCATATAAAATTCGTGTATATAATATATAAATATTTTGCTTGCGTGGTTGCATTTGTAAAATTAGCACTAAGATCGCTTTGTTTGTCATGGTTACATCGTTATTTTGATTCAGAAGCTTAACAATAAATATGTGGAAGTGTTGGAAGCACGATTTAAATATGAATCGACGAACGACACAGATTCTGGTGAGGATGCAGATACAGATTCAAAGATAAAAGACTTACGAACTAGATATGTGTGAGTGTGAATAATGGTCTGTGAATTCGACGATCGGAATTTGCACTGATTTTCATATAATTTTTTTATGTATAGGCACTACTACTGGATCCGCAGCAACGTGGTCGGTCTCCTTGGTTATTGCACGTTGTCAAGTTGTATGGGCTGTGGGTAGGAGGGGAATTACTTTCCACTCTCGGTGCTCTCCTTGTTCCGCTCCTCGCGTATCCGCTTAAATGCCTCCGTCTTGAGAAAGTCCACCGAATTGTATACAACACTGCTGGGCTTTGGACCCCTGGCTCCCGCAGCGTCTCCGCCTTGAGAATACAGATTGCCAACATTCATGCTGGAACTGTTCAGCGGCGGCTTGTTGGTTACATCCAGCTCTAAGTACTGCAGCTTGTGCTCTGCTGGTGCCTGTTGTTGCTTTGTCGCCGCCGTGGCTCCTCCCGAGCTCGACATGGCAGCGACTGCAGAGACGGTGCGCTGATGTTGCACAGACATGCTGCCAGGACTATTGGGATGATGATGATGTTGCTGACGATGCTGCTGCCGCGGCAGGGTGCGCGTCTCATGGAAATAGGCTGCCGCCGCTGGCGAATGAACATCCGTTTCATGTGGCAACACCATAGAGAGCGGAGCACCCGAGGAGCGACGCGTTGCCGGTGACATGGTAGCCGACGTTCCCAGCTTAAAAGTAGATGATAAAAAGTTTTGTTTTAAACAATTTCAAGAAATTAGGTCTTGAATATAGCTTCTCACCTTATAGGCATTCGGCTTGCACTTTCGATCCACACTGGGCGGTCCCACAATGGCCTGCTGCTGTTGCTGCTGTAAATGAGCAGCTCCTAGCTTGCTGGTTAAATGCTCCACGCCTACAGGCGGCTTCGCTGGGAACTCCTCTGGCGGCTTATCCTCCAAAGCCGGCGTCCCGGACACCACCTTGGGCTTTAGCTTGCGATTAACTGGCGGACAATCTGCTTGCTCCATGAAATCGTAACGAAATACATTTCCCTCCATCTTTGTGGGCGCCGCATTTGTATAGCAGTGAGGTCGTGGCAGTGTTCGAGCCGAACTGGTGGTGGGCGATGCAACCGGAATCTGACCGGGATTCGACGCCGTCGCAGTTGCTGTTAAAGCGGCAGCCGTCGCGGCCATGAGATTCGGTGTCGATGCAGCAATGGGATTGCTGTTGTGCGGACTGGTTACCACCACCGGTCGCTCGCCCAGCAACTGGTTGACATTGTAGTAGGGCAGCTGATGGGAGCGTGGAATGTCATAGCTCTCCTCGATAAAAGCCGAAATGGCATTGCGCTGTGCCACAATGGCCGGTGACGTGTTTTCTGTGTCAGAAAGCTGCGGCAGATCACGAGGAATCCTTAAAGTATATATTATTAACACAAATTACTTTAATGTTTCATGTGTTTCCACTCACTTTTCATTCTCCTTAAAGTCCAATATGAGATTATTCTTGTTCTTCAGCACCTTGGCCAGTTTCTCAAGCGTTCGATGGTCCCCACCTGCGACAGATGCCGCTGCTGCTTCTGCCGCCTGCTTGGAATTCAACTTTTCAACAGGTTGTGCCACCCCGCCGCCTTCCTCTGGCATTTTAGAGAAACGTTGCGAGTAGGTCAGCACAAAGCTTTCGTTTTCAATCGAACTATCCGAGGGTCTGGTGCTGCGATCTGCAATAAATACCATGTTATTATTTCAATTTTTTGTATGAGTAGGTTGGAATTTCTGACAACTTACCCACATTCTCGCGCAATGGCAAAGGATGTGCCCACTCATCGTCATCCGTAAAAACACTCTCCGAATCGGAGTCCGAGCGTTGTTTACTAGCATTGGCATTGGCCAATTGTTGCTGAAAGAGATACAGAGAACAATGAAAGCTTAGGTTCTTTCTTTTATTCAGTTTAATATTGAATTTAACATTTAACTAAAACTCACCAGACTCAAATTGGTAATCTTCGGTGAGTAGGACTGATCATTGGTCAGATTCAGACCAATATTGTTATGACTACGCGGCGTATCGTAGAACTTTGGGTCCAAGTTATTCAACGGCGTTGTTGGATTGTTTGGTATGGCCACTTCTCCTGCTCCCGCTCCTGCTCCGGGTCCCACTCCACCGGGCAGCCCAGTGCCCGGCAGATAACGTGGACTGCCCGAGAAACACTCGCTAATGGGTATATACGGTCCGGAGGCGGTACTCAGGGCGGGCGATGCCTGCACACTGCATTGCTGAGCGGCTGCCTCAGCCAATGTTTGTTGGGTGAGCACCAGATGCTCCGGTAACTTTCGTACCACACCATTGGCGCTGACCGCCAGACGTGCCTGCTGCTGTTGCTGTTGCTCGGCGGCTGCAGCTGCTGCCTGTGCCTGGATCAATGCACTGTGATTTAAATACAGAGCCGTGGCCGGCGATGGCGGCGGCTGCTGCTGGGCAGCCGAGAGCAGATCCTGCTGATCAAAGTTGCCATCGCAAAGCATCGACTCGCGATTACTATACTCGGTGTTGACATACACAGAGTCAGAGTTATTGTTACCGGCGTTCAGGGGTAGCGGCTGCTGTTCAATGACCGCCGGCCGTCGAAGTTGTGTGGTAGAACCACCTCCAGCACCAGAGCCGGCTGTCCCTTGTGTGGTACCAGCGGAGGAGTGTAACGATGTGGTGGTTGTATTCTGAGTGGAGTTGCTCAGTCCGCCACTGGAGCTTGTGTGCTGGGTGCGGTTTTCATCTGTGGAATGGGATTAGAAATAGATTTAAGGAACTTGAGTAGGCCTTTATTTAAACGCATCCCACTCACCTGTACCCACAGCGCCCAATGGCAGCTCATTTGATTGTTTGGTGTCATGCAGGTGGCACACCTGGCAGATGCAATTAACCCAGTCACGCATGTCCGCCTCCGTCTCTGCAGCCAGGTAATAGGTGCGCTTGGGCGTCTTAATGTCGAACATGTACTGGAACTTTTGCTTGCGATTCTCCAGCCGCAGGCCGCAGTCCACCTGCTCGCACTGATCCAGATCGATGACGCCCTTCAGCTTGCGGCAGTTGTGGTCGGTGTAGTATTCGAGGCAGAACTGCTCGGGTATCTCACCCTGCTTCAGCGTGAACCAGCGACGACGCCAGCGCTGTAATGGAAAAACAAGGAATAGAATTGCAACATAACAGCTTTGGTTTTATTTGTACTTTTGTAATTTATACTAAATTCCACACAAATAGGAATCCCCGCTTTAAACTCTTCAACTAAAGATAACATTAAAGAATATCCAAGACAAAGTTTATAAGTCATACTGTAGAAAAGTATTTTATTCTTATCATTGGAGCTCTAATGAGAAGTATCTGGGATAAGAAACCCTACGAAAAACCTTTATTGTTTAGTGATTATATTTATAATTTAAGACAGGCTTAAATGTTTAAATTTAATTCCTAAACTTCCACTGTTATTCGACCTTACTCAGACCCATATCAATAAAACAAACATAACTCACACTACCGTTTTGTGATTACAGCCTTCTGAGGACGATGATACCTACATTGAATCGAGGGTGCAACGATGAACTCTGGATCGAAGGTTATATGAAAGGGTGCAGCAGCCCACTCTACCACTTCGACTGACTGACTTCACTATACTATATACGCTATATCAAAATCCAACGCCAGTGGTGAGTAAGCGTGTGATGAAGCGGCGACTGCAACGTTCGCTGCTGCTTTTCCGCGAATCATATTTTGCATTGACATTTTCTTGGGTAATCGCCGGCCATACACACACCCAGTGTGTGTGTGTGTGTGTGTTTTCAAGCACACCTATCTACACCCACGTCGTCATCACCATCAGAATTGATTGCTAAAACAGCTGAGAAAAGTGGAGTGGTCAATGGGTTTGAGACCCATCTAGCAACAGAAACTCCGGTGGATTCTTTTTTGTTCGTCTGCAGAATTTCACGGCTAATTGAATTATAAACAATAAACATAATGCCGCACACAAGCCAGAAATTGGCACCCCGAGGCGATGGAAATACGCAGATAATTTTCTTGAGGCATCATTATTACGGTTTGCTTACACAGTGAAGCTCAAAATATTAGCCACGTAAAATTATAATAGAAATAAACATCTGAATGATTTATTATTCAGAAAGTGTTGAGCTTTTGAAGCACTGTAAAAATATAAATATATATTAAAACAATATACTGAGTTCAATAATAGAAAGCAGGAAACCATTCGAATTTTAAGATCACAATCAAGATTACAAATTTTTAAACAATTCCTAGAATGTAAACATTTGCATGTAATATAGTTTAGCAATTAAATATTGCTGATTATTAAAGAACTATCTCTGACCCCAAAACTAAAATACTTAAATGCGTAATTGAGTGGGCCAGGCTCCTATAATAAATTCGATTTTCTTTGTAAATTAATTAATATAGCAATGCTAATTGTACAATGAATACAATTTATTTAAATAAACATCAACAAACATAAACGAGTTTTGGTCTGTAATTTAATTAAAAGAGCTATTAAATATTGGGAATGCTTGAATGTGTAATTCATTAGTTAAAAGTCTAAGGAAAATATTTTCCTGTTAACTGCCATAGAATATAATATATTTAAATTGTAGTAGTATTTAATACTTTCTATTATTAAATTGGGTTTAGGTTCAATTAACAAAATTCATTAATTTGTTGGGCATAAAAAAAAAACAAATTATGTGTAAGTTCCTAGAAATCAGATTCGAATTAAAAAATCTAAATTGACTTAAAAATCGACAGCTGTAAAATTTTTAGAATTCCATGGAATAAACCCCTGATAAGAATCTGAAAGTTCCTATAAAATGGGAGGGAAGATCCACAGTTAGATTCGACTTTAAATCAAATCGAGAACTTTAGCCACAAGATGAATCCTACAATTTTCTTGAGGTAAGTTTAGAATTATTAGTAAGGGCATTGTATCTTAAAGGCTTTTATTATTCCTTGACAGCTGCCTGGTGGTCATCATCGGTAGCCTTGCGTGCACTGCCAGCGCTCAAGGTGACCAGGAAACCCGAATTGAATTCACACGATTGAAGAATATTTTTGGAAATGATGCGACTCACCGCGTGACCAAGCTTAGGCATATCCCTGAGCTAATGGATTTCTATGAGAAGCACCCCGATCGGTTCCAAATGACCCAAGCGGAGCGACAATCAGCCGATGAAGCATTAATGCAGTACAAGGAGATCAATCAACGAAGTGAGCGGGGTTTGTCTCCTCAAGGAGGTTTCTTTGGTAAATTTCTTTCTCTAGTTCTTACTGTTTTCGTCCCAACATTACAAAAGGCGATAGAACCTGAGCACTTAATTTAGATTGCTTTTCTATATTCCACTACTGAAACGTATGAGTTTAAATTGATTTCAATGATAATGATATTCTGAAAAGTGTTGTTTCGCATTTATATAATCAATAATAAAAAATATTGAAATATTTAACATTAAATTTTATAATGTTTACTTTTAATTATGTAAAAAATGAAGGGGATGACCCTCCTCTCGCCATAATTTAACAGTTTATGGCAAAACAAAAGACAATAAGGTTTTCTAAAATTATTCCAAAAACATTTCTGGAAATTATAGATAACTCGTGACACGACTCTACTCACAACACAAGCGCATCTCTAGTAACAAGAACAAAAACAAGGAGATGGTAAGACAAGTGCGTCATTGTTTTTCGGTTGCCGTTGTTGCTTTATTTTGATTTTTTTTGTGCCCGATGCACACATAAAAGCAAACAGCATATGCATGCACATAGCAGCATGGATTCTCATTCCCTTTGTGCTGTCTTTCTACTCAAAAAAAAAACAGTGGGGAGAGAATACGGGGAAAATAAATTTGATTAAACGCAACAGTTGGCGGTAATTTAATACACGAGCGGCTGGAGGATGAGTGGAGGGGGGAGGGCAGGCGGACCAGCTCCCTCAAGTAAACATTAAACGAAAAATTAATTAAGCGTAAATTTAGACCAGCGCCAAAACACGTTCCCACGCCATAAGCAAACATAAACAACACACACCAGAACGGGCAAGTACCTAACACACACACACACACGCGCGCTGAACGAAGCAGAGTGGAAAGGGGAGAGCACAGAGCCAAAGAGAGGGAGGAAGCCATCGTAAATTCATTCACATTTTGCAATTATCGATGCCACTGCTTCTATTCGCTTCGCCTCTCTGCGGTTTTAGCTTGTTTGCATTCCAATCAACTATCATGATCCCCTCCTCGGCTTAAAAATGAATTAAGTTTTATATGACAAAAACAGCCACGGCAAACAAACGCACACACACGCACATTCGGGGCAGGCACCCACCAATACAGGCGCAGCGTAATTGTAAAAAAAAAAATGCCACTGCGATTATCCATCGTTCCGTTTATTTGTCTTCTTCGTGACTCAGTCGCCGATATGGACTTTGGAAAATCAACAACACTGCCAACTATGCCGAGATTGCGAAAATCTCTTCCGGCCTTTGGTTTACCGTTAACCTTTGCGGTTTTCACATTTCACTGATCACTTGGAGGAATTTCCTCATTTCGATCCAAGCTCGGTTCTCTCCCTCTCTCTTTCTCTCTCCTCAAAAGGGAGAAAATGGTTTTCACTTGCAGCACATTATCTCAACTTTTCGGGGGATTTTCACTGTTGTTCAACTTACTGCTCGCCAAATTCGCTTAGTGGGCGGCGACTTAATCAGCCAGCCCTCGTAGAAAGTGCGATCCATTATCGTGTACTTAACGAGAAATTAAAGAATTCGATTTGTTTCACTCCGCGCACACACCAACAACGTTTAGACTGACCGTGGCCGGATTTTGACGGAAACGGCAATCAGTGTGACCGTGCGTCTAAAATGGAAATATACTGATTACTGGAGTCGGTTCATGCTAAATTCGGTTAAAACATTTAATTTAATGGATAAATTAATTATTCAAAGAATAAATAATGCTGTAAAAATGGAATTTATATTTATTTTTATCTAAACAATAAATTCGTTAAGATTTCAAGCCTTTCTATGCCAATTTATCTGAAAAGAAAACGTAGAACAGATACAAGTGAAACAATTAAATTGAAATTTTTATGTAAATAAACGCTTTTAAAATTCGAAATTATGGTGGAACCTTCAAAAAATGTATATTTTTATTGTGTATGTTTAATATTCTTCTTTTTTTGTTTATAATATTTCTATTTTGACACTGACCAAAAAATGACCTTTTTGTATATTGACATTTCAGTGAGATTTTTTTCGAACGTTTTTATTATTAATTATTTTATAATAAATAGGTAAAAAACTTGTTTAAACCAAATCAGAATAATTTTCTAGGTTTAATTTAGTGTAAATTCATTTTTTTATATATATTTTGTTTGGCGTAAAGCCATTCTACAAAAGAAAATATAATAAATAATAATAAAAAACTCCTAAATACAAAACAATTTGATCTAAAATTTAAAAAACACACTTAAAAAATAAGATAACTTTATATTTTGTATATTATTACAAAACTACCCAGTCGAAGGCCTCGTAGCTAGCACTACAATCTTCCATATTAGTAATAGTTTTGTAAACTTTACTATTAAATAATAAATAAATAGAATAAATTTAAATTGGGAGCTCAACAAGATCCATAAACAAGAACTATTCGACGAACTTGACTTTGTTTATCCGTTCACAGGGCAAAGATAAACTAGGCGCCGATTGTGAGCCTTTGCATACAGATCTATTAAATACCGTTATAATCAACATTCAAGACAAATTTTTTTTTTTTTTTTACAAATAAGTTTTATTCCGCCGTGTCAAGTGTATGCCAACAACATACAGATTTTCCATATAGAATAGCATTCTCTCCAGCAGCGCTGCTGCACACAACAGCACCACTACTAGCGCCACCGGCGCCACGATCTCAGGCGGAACCTGCTGCTCCTGCACGCCGGACTGCCGCAACCAGTGCTTATTTGTCCTTGCTGTCGCCCTTGCCACCACGGATCCTACCGGTACGACGGGCAGCGATGAGACCGACCTTGCGACCGGCAGAGGTGCCTCGCTTGACGGTGGACGCCTTACCAATATGTTGATGGTTACCACCACCGTGGGGATGCTCCACAGGGTTCATGGCCACACCACGCACCTTAGGCCAGCTGTTGCGCTTCACCTTGTACTTGTGGTAGGCACGACCGGCCTTCAGGATGGGCTTGTCGATACGACCGCCGCCGGCAACGATGCCGACCATGGCGCGGTTGGCCGAGGGCACAACCTTCTTGGCGCCGGAGGGCAGCTTGACACGGGTCTTCTTGGTGTCCGGATTGTGGGCAATCACGGTGGCATAGTTTCCACCAGTACGGGCCAATCGGCCGCGATCGCCGGTCTTCTCCTCCAGGTTGCAGATAATGGTACCCTCAGGCATCTGGCTCAAAGGCATCACATTTCCAATCTGCAGGGTAGCCTTGCGACCGCAGTACACGAACTGGCCGGTGTGCATGCCCTCGGGGGCGATGAACAGCTCCTTGCGGATCTTGTAGCGGTAGGGATCACGGAAGTGGACGACGGCCAGAGGAGCGCCACGGCCAGGATCGTGGACGATGTCCTAGAACAAAATTAAAATTAAATATGTGATATTTGGTAATAAATAAACATCTTTCACTGTTAATTTCAGGTTACATGCTTCCGTTTGTTTGCGCCCCGTGCAGTTGAGGCAACTTCAACAACTCACCTTGACAACGCCGCGAATGTAGCCAGAACGCTCGGCGAAGTCCAGAGAACGCAGCTTGGCGGCTCCCTTGCGCTTCTTCACGTGCGCCTTGAACACGGAACCAGCGCCCTTACGCTGTGCACGAATAACGCGACCCATTGCTGCAAAACAATTGAATCACAATTAATATCCAAGTCGTCCAGTTAAAAGTCGGCATTTAACGCCCGTCCATCGCAAAAGGCAACGAAATATTGGGTGCATCTGCTTTCGCAAGTCATTCCCTTCTCGCTTTGTGTATAATTTCGTTTGGATGATGCGATAAACATTGTTAAATTGCGCGATTAATATTTTTTTCCACGAGCGGATGCGAGACGTACCAAATTTCGGGTGGAAAAGAAAAGAAAGAGAGGGGAATAGAGCTGTCAAAACACCGATGGAGCTATCGATAACGCAATAGTTTGGCTCTGTATCGATTGGTTTTAAACTATCGCGATAACAGTAATTAGGCCACAAATTTTTGATATTTAAAAAAATCTATGTAAATTTATTGGTCTATGTCGGTATCAAAGAAAAATTTAACTTTTTGATTGTACTTAAAGCAATATTAGATTTCTTAGTTCAACTATCGATAGTTTTTGACAGCTCTAAGTAGTCTCGATTAAAAACATAATACATAATAAATAAAGTGGCAACGCCAGTTCAAAAGCTTTAGTAATAGAGGTGTAAAGACATCTATGAATGAGATACTTAGGTGGTCGTAAAAGAGCAAAGTAAACTATTCTGAATTAAAATATATGTTTTATAGAATTGCAGGGTATTATAATATTATTCAGAAGCCTCAAACGCTCTGAAAGAGTCATTTCCGACCATATAAACCATATATATACTTGATCAGTATCAACAGGAGAATCTTCTAGCCATTTCCGGTTTCGTTGTTTAGAGCTTTGATTTGTCAATAAGAATAATGAATTGATAAATTTAAAGAATGTAAGTATATCAAGTTTTCTTCTGGGCAAAGAATGCCCAAAAGGCCAATGATCGTTAAAACTCTTGGATATTCCGATTTTTAATTTAAATCTTTATTAAATAATAATAATAAATTGGAAATTAATATTTGATTAATATAACAAAGTCTTTAATTTATTTAAACGGGGTTATAGTAATACAATTTTCTTAAATAGAGATTTATTTTTAAAAATTATTATATAAAGACAACAACTTGCAAACTCGCAGATCATTAAAATGTTATTATTATTTATTATTACAACAACGCCATAGTCATAATGTAACATACAATAACATTGGAGCTGTTACTTAAAATCCCTCAAGAGATCTCTTTTCTTTTGTTTCCATCGCTTTGGTAATACCCTGTTTACCGGCTTCGACAAGCAGTGGTATAACGATTTTCTCAAATAGTTTTTTAAAGAACTTTGAGTTGCCCCCACCTTGGGACGGGACACCATCCACCAAAATTTCGTTGGCCTTTTCCTGCTTATATTGCCTCACCGCATCATCTGATTGTAACCGAAGTATGGGTGTAAGATTAAGAAGATGGGAGTTCTTCTCAAGGAAGTGTACCAAAAAAGGTACATTTCTTTCTTTGACGAATTCATGAACCCAAGGACTTCCATAAATATTCATCAACCGTGTCCTTTCAGATTCAATGTCGGCACTGGCTGTCCACATAAAGCTTGCGAAGATGACTATAAGGCAGCTAAGGAATAATAATTAGGAATTTAGGGAATCAGTGTAAATTTAATAATTTAAGCTTACTTCAAATATATTGTTGAATTCATCGTATGGCTAAAGCTCTCGATTTGATTTAAAGTCGAAATTAATAGCTGGTCCCATGGGAGCCCCCTTTTTATAGGGGCTCGAGCTCTTATCAATACTTTTTTCAGATCTGGGTCAGTGGTAATTCCATAATTAATGTTTTTCTTAAGAAATCGTAATCGAAGTGATTGTTTTTTTTTTCTATTTAACTCGTTAGTATTATTATACCCCAGCAGAGTATTATAATTTTAATCAAAAGCTTGCAACGCAGTGAAGGAGTCGTTTCCGACCCTATAAATCATATATATTCTTGATCAGCATCAACAGCCGAGTCGAGCTAGCCATGTTTTGTAGAACAAAAATAAAGTTAACAATTTTTTGAAAAAATTTTAAGTTAAAATTGTCAAAATTTGACAAAAATTTTAAATTTTTTAAATTTCAAAACTCAATATTCCGAATTGTAAACCCTATAAAAAATTAGCACAGGAAATCTTTTCGAATTGAATTTAACAAACGTTGATTTACCCCAAAATTTAGCATATAAAAATATCGATTCTTGCAAATATTACCTTCAATCATTTATTAAATGTTGCAATTATTCTCAAAAATTTGAAGGATAAGAATAATTGTAATATTATCATTAACAAAAGTATTATGCTTCTGAAAAGCAATTAGGAGATTGCTTTGCTGATTCCTTCAGCGGCAGCTTCGATGCCAATATCTACAAGAATCCCTATTAGAATTGATGAAAGGAAACCACCTTGAGGTGGTGCACCGTCCACCAAAGGTTGATTGGCTTTTTCCTCCTTATATTTGCCCACTGCATCGGTAACACGTGTACGCAGTTCGGGTGTCATCTGGATATTACCGGAGTACTTGTCAAGAAAGTGAGCCAGAAACTCGGCATTCCTTATCTTGGTGGCCTTATCCACACCCGGATTTCCGTAGATTTGAATCACACGCGCCTTTTCAGATTCAAAGTCTCCTTCGGCATGGGCAGTCCACACAGAGCATCCGATGAGGACCACCAGGCACCTAAGGAGAAATTATCAAGGATTAAAGGATGCGACACTAAATTATAATAATTTTGAAACTTACCCAAGGTAAAGAATCGGATTCATTTTGAGTTGATTAGGTTGTTAGTTGAACTAAATGCAAAGCCCTCCGAATACAGTGTTTATATAGGGGCTCTGGCAGTTGATGCATCATTGATTTATTTGATTAATTTTTTGCACAATAATTTTATAATAAACTGACCTGTGAAATATTTCTAGGAATTGATAATAATTTTGATAAGGCAATTGAAAAATATATAACTATTTCCAAGTCAGTTTTCGTTACATGACTTTTCCTAATAACCTTATCACACATTTCCAATTACTTTCCAAACTAAAAGAAATCGAATTATTTGTTGAATCAGTAAAAAAAACTATAATTGATTGTAAATTTTCTTCGGAAAAATATTAAAATCATATGCCTCAAAGCTAATATCAATCCCCACCTCCCAATGATAATAAACCCACATTACATTTATTTTTTTGTTTGTTTTTTAATTTTGAGATTATATATATATAATAATTAGATTTACATTCATTTCTGTATCATTTTACTTGTTTTATTTTAGAAATAAAGTAAGCATTTATTACTAATTCTTTTACTCTTCTTTTTTTTCTTGTTTTAGATTTGCATTTTAGTGCACTTTTGTTTACCATTTTGCTTCGATGAACATTATTAAATACGGGGTATGGGGGCATACAATAATTTTATAAAACACAAAAACAAACAATATTTTAAACATACTTTTTTTCCTTAATGAGACTTTTTTGTGTGTGTAGGGAGGGGTTGGTGTGTGTGTGTATATGATGTGTGGAAAAGGAGGAGTGCTTGGGGACGACACAAAATAAGGCAGAATTAGTGTTCCAGTGTTTTTGATGGTTCGATATATAGAGATTTATAAATATTGCAACGTGACCACTTTTGATATCGAGAAAGCTTGTAAGAAACACAAGGAAAATGCACACAACAAGCGGAGATGAATGGTTCGGTTCGTTAATGGTTATCAAATTGTAACATGCTACGATTTTATAGAATTTTGGTTTACTCTCTTCCCTCATCAATTCATCGTTCATTCATTAATATTCATTCTCGTTTTTTTTTGTTTTGCTCTGTATAAAAGTTCAGTAAAAAATGCAGCTTAACTAGATTATCATCCACTTCGCTTTCTTGTTTTTTTATTTTTGTAATTAATTCCCTCCAATTTGTGGTTATCAAGGAGTATATCCCCTCTATAAACGTCATGCGGTGCGCGTTCATTTATTTCCATTAATTGTTGCAAGCTTGCTTGGTTTTTGCTTCCGTTTTTGTGTTGCTTTTCGGCTTTTATTTTACATTTAATCAATTATTTAATTGTTTACTTTTGTTTTTTGTATCACTTAGTTTTTACAATGGCGTTTTTTGTTTATGTGGGTTTTGTTTGCTTCGCTTATCCTTCTCCTTCTCCTTTCTCTTTCTTCTCCATAAAATGAGTGCTATTTCCTCTGCTCTGCACTAACACATGTGTGATCATTATCAGAAAAACGCACAAATAAATTCTATGTTTGATAATATCAAGAACAAAAACTAACTGCATATTGTTATTATTCCTATATTTATATACTTTATATATATATATGTATATGCGACGTTCTCTTCGATACATATACTCGTATGTTCTTGCTTTGTTTTCAACTTAAGTTTAACTTGTAAGCGAAATCATAATTATCGGAAAATCAACATACTTGAGACGACATTCGAAATGAATCTGGGATCATTTTTATGTAACGTCAATATACATACACCGAAAGGAATAGGGGATAAATTGCTTTTCTGCGGTTTCTGTTCTCTGTTCTCTTCAGATCTTACGAAAAACCTCGGCGAGTGAGCTTGCAATGTGTGTTCGTTTTGTCTCTCTAAATATTAAGTAGATTATTTTATATATATATATATATATATATATATATATATATATAGGCTCGTCGATTCCCTTCTGAGCTCTCTTAGCACATTTACTAATTGAAACGTTGTTGTTTGTCGTGGTGAATTTCATAAGCACTCTTCTTCACTTAAATCAGCTAATTATCTCTTCGTTATGTTGTGTGAGTGTGTTGTGTGTTCGCTTTTTAGATACTTTTCTTTTTTTGTTTTGCTTGTGTTTTTTTTTTTTGTAAAATAAGAAGAAAATGTTTATGGATTTGCCTCACTGCTGGGTTGAGCAAAAGGCTGCCAAGATCATCGATTACCAGTTGGCCATGCCCGGCTTGTTGAGCGTCATAAAGTAGATTTGACACGATGAAGCACCTTTGGCACTGCTGAAGAATACTTTGTCGTTGCGCTCGCAAAGGAATTTCAAGCGCTGCGCCTTCTTGTGCATGAACACACCATCCAAATGGCCGCTTTCAACGGAACGTATCTGGGATATAAAGGAAAACCACTCGAATTAATATAAAATATAGAATTTATTATTTTAAATCACTCACCTCTATTGCTTTATTGCCCCAACCCATAATTTGTCCCGTGCCAATATATGCCACTGAGGTGGGCATTTCGCCCCACTAAAAAAATAAGAATAAACAATAATTAGCAACAATAAATTATAGAAAGAGTTTACAAATGACTTGCCTGCAGCACAATATTCTTGGACACACGACCCACAGTGTTGACATAGACGCCTTCATTGTCGTAGCAGAGCAGCAGTTGCATGCCATTTGAGTTTGGAAGCGCCACAATACAGTGCGGAATGATTGCACCCTGAGTCTGCATGAATTAATTATGAATTAATAATAATAATTTATAATCAATTACTCACACAACTTACATGCTTGGGAAGATAGATATCGTATACTTCAGCTGAATCTAAATCAACCGCATGGAAACCCTCGGCGGAGCCATAGATCACTTTCAGTCTCGATTGATCCTCAATTGTTAGATCGACCAAAAGGGGGCGATGTTCCAATTCACCAAAATTCTTTAAATTACAATAACAATAATAGTTAAACCTCATCATGGAAGGATGTAAAACAAATCTCACCTTAAATGCCATAAATTTGTGATATGGTTTGGGTGCCCATGCATAAATTTCAATCGAGTCTTTTAATGCAATCACTAGGAACTTAATCCTCTCGTATTTGACAATCTTAAAATGTACAGCACCTTGGAGATCACCAACGTTAATCCAACCATTGCGTCGTTCCACTTGCTACATTGATTTCGTATACATATTATTAATTAGATGCTGTATTAATTAGTTATTTAAGTTCCAAGTACTCACGTCGGACAGGCCATCGGTTCTTAAGATCTTCGACTTGAGCCAGGACAAGTAGTAGACGCGCACGCGATTTTTCTTTCCGGATATGGTGACCAATATATTCTGGCCCTCTAGCACCTCCATTTGCTGGAAACGACGTCGCGAAATGAGCTGGTAGACCTATTGGTGGGAATGCGGATATATTTAGTATTTTCTTTAAAAATATGTAAGGAACATGATGTAGATCAAGAGGGGAAATCCCATATATCGAAAAAAAACGCGCAATATTGCATATATCGAAAATATCTTCAATAAGATATCGAAAATATCGAAAATTAACACATTTAATTGTAAAATATCGATATTAATATATTAATCTAATATTATCAAACAGAATATAGTCTCTCTCGTAAAATACTGATATATTATTCGTATATTAATATATATTTCAATCTTACCTTCCCCTGTCCAGATCGATCCAGCAACATTAAACCATTCTCCGTTCCGATCAGCAGATTAACTCCCCAAAGCGCCGCACACAGAATCTCCGAGTTGAAACGCTTCTTATACTTACGGATCTCGGGCGTATCATTGGCTGCCTCATGCGAGGTGGGCGTCACATTGACATTGACATGGGACTCGCGACGCGATGGACCGGAGCCGCCGGCACCGAAGCCGAAGGTCAGGAAGCTGCGTTGCTTCTGTTGCAGGGCATACGCGTGCGGCGGTAGCGGTGTATTGTTGGCATTGGCATTAGAATTGGAGATCGAGAGCGAGGCCGAGGACGTTGAGGAGCAGGGCGTCAAGTGGTGTAGGTTCGCGGAGGAGGAAGAAGCAGATTTGTGCAAGAGATTAGTAATACTGCTGGAGGAGCGCGTCTTGCTGATTGAATTCTTTGGCGAATTCTGGCGTGAATTCGATGAGGACGAGGCGAGCGATATCGTCGATTGTGGCGAGTGATTATTACTGCTAATAATCACGCCCCCAAGAACGGTACCGCCCCCCAAGCCGAGACCGCCTAGAGCGCCGACACTGCCGCTGCCGCTTCCGCTGCTAGCGATAAAGGATTTCGATGGCGTGGAATGCACGGATGAGCTAATGGCCGCCTGATACTGTTATCGATTTTCGTTTCGATTATTTCGATTATTCGTTTTGTTTGTTGTTTTATTATTTGATTTGTTTGGTTTTTTTTTGTTTGGTGGGGTTTTTGGTTTTTATTTTATAAATATATATAGAGAAAAAGAAAATAGAAAAAGTGCAAGAAAAAATGTCAATTAGTCTTGAGATTTTCAACTAAAAACTAAATAAATTAAATAATTTATACATGCTGGGGTTTTTTTTTTTGTTGTGTGTAGTGCATAGTGAGGGCATTATTATAGAGTGTGTAGTGTGTGTTTTTTTGTTATGTGCAAAATGCTTAAATTATAATCAAAAGTGTGTGTTTAGCCAAAACTCATTCATTGATTTGTTAACAGAGTATGTAAAATGTTGAAAATGTGTTAGAAAAAAACAAATAAATAATATAGACATGTGTTTAGTCTTTCCCTTGAAGGCCAATGATTTAAATTATATAGAAAATACATTACAAATTACACTGGTCAACTGTAAAAATTCAAGTTTATAGTTAAGTTATCAAGTTGACTAGAGTTTTGTGTAAAAAAAACATTAAAAATATTTTGGAATATTTTCCTAAAGTGTTTTTTGTATGTGTGTGTGTATATAGTGTGTGGGAAGATGAGACTGTAACCATTATAGGTGAAATATGTTAGTTAAAGTTGACATTAAGATTGAACTGCTATACAACGCAGAAGACAGTGGATTGTATGGGATATATTCCTAGCAAACAAATTATAAAATGATCAACAGATGTCAAAGATTTCTTGATTTTATATACAGAGGAAAATATATAAATTGAAAGACATTCCTAGTGCTGGTATAATATAAAAGTTGAATGAAAGTGATCACAGGACGATTTCCTTATCCCATAACTTTAGAAAAACACATACAAAATGTGATGAAAGTGGGAGAGAGAGTATGTGAGAAAATTAAAAACTATACACAAAAGTATTTTCTTAAATTTTTTTGTGGGGTAGTTGTTGGAATTTTCGGTTGGTTTTTATACAAGACAGAAAATTATACAAAATTAGGAGCGTTTTTTTGTCGAAGGATTTGGTTGGTTGTTTTGTTTATTCATACTTACTATTTGTAATGTTTTGTTTGTTTTTGTATTTGATTGGTAATTTTTGTAATTTGGTTAGAATATATCGTAGTGGCCATCAGCTCAAACGTTGCGGAAAGACAAAGCACAATTATAGAAGAAGAAATTTTTTGGTTTAAACATTTTGGTTCTGGTTTTTCTTTTTCAAATCATATATATATTTTTTTTTTTTTGGTACATCATTTCATGCTTCATGCAATTATATATTTTCTGACCAATTCATTGTTTAACACTCTTCATAATGAACTTTGCACTCCACGTCAAAGAAATACATATATGTTTATTGCAGAGATACTCTTGTTTAGTCACATTTATAATTAGGGTTAGATATTGGGACTTTTAAATCAGGAAAAATCATAAAGTAATGTAAGGTAATTAAAGGTTCCTCAATGGATTTCGTTGTGAAGTACTTCAAATTATTACTCAGGTTAGTAATGATTGTTTAATCAATAAAGATAACCAAATGACTGATAATGATTCTATATATATTTTCTTTATGATTCCGGAAGAACTTCAAGTCCTAGCCATGAATCCTAACGAATGACTCGCCGTGTGGCAATGAATTTCTGATTTCTACTCGAACAGAGACACAGTACAACGAATTATTATCACAAAGTAAATATATATAACGAAACAATAAACAAATAAAGCTCGAAAGTGGACGAACGAACACAAGGGTGTTACAAACGGGAAAAACACAATGAAAAATCGATTAAAACTGATAAATGGCATGTGATACACACTCACCTCCTCACTGGATGATTTATCGTGACGCGGTGGCGTTGCCGGCGATGCCTGGCTGAGCAGATCGGGCAGGACGCTGCTGGTCCTGGTTCCAGGAGTCCCTAAACCATCGGCTCCCACACCGCCGCTGCTGCCGCTGACGCCTCCGCCTCCAACGCCGCTTCCACCGCCGCCGCCTCCTCCTCGATTCTGTTTTGGGAGCGAAAAAAAGGGAACAGTATTATGAAGGTTTCTTTTTTCTTGTTTTGTAACCAAATTTATAATGAAATTAATAAGGAAAACGAGTAGGTGGAACAGAGAGAGACAGTATGGGTTATAGAATGGAGGAGGAGAAACGGAAAGTAACAAACGTAATGAGATTCAAGGAACGTACAAGAAAAAACATAAAGATTCATAAAGATTCAAGGAGCAGCAGCACAAAATATAAATATGAATGCCAATGAGACACATTTTGAGGTTGTTGTTTCCTATATGGATGATGATTCCGACACTACAAAAGCCTTGTGGTTTTTACTGGTCTCCTCGTATTCGATATACATTTAAATACATATACAGATAGTGGTGTGTATTTGGTGTGTATCCTTGAGCTTATAAACTATCACATTTAATTATCAAGTCTTTCAAGTCTTCTTAATGTTTTCAAAATTGTTTTAAAGCTAACAACTAAACTTAAACTAAATAAATAGCAAAACACAGCAACTTCAGCAGGCAAAACGTGAGCTCAAGTTGCAAACAAACACTCTCGCGATTCATTTGATTTATTTATTTTCGTAATCAACTTTCCAAACCATCAAACTTTTCTAATTGATTTCGAATTGGTCTTTTTTTGTACAGAGAAAAAGCTTTAAAACAATTTTGAGCGAAAGCAAATATAGAGTTTTATATACAGAGATGATACACAGAGCGAGAGTTACAAAGGTTACATACGAGGCGGCAGAGAGATAGTTTCTAAAGTCTCTAGTTTATAATTAATCAAAATTAGCTAAGCTAATCAAAGTTTAATTAGTTACTGGTAAATGCTAAAAGCACCTTTACACAAGTCCGAAATATATTGCTGGGGATTTAGAATTCATTAAAATTGGTGTTCAAAAGAATGCTATAAAACATTTCTTAATTATATACTTTCGATTACTTGAAAATATTGTTTCATATCCCAGAATATATTCAGGATATTTCTTTATATATTTCCTTTAGTTTTTAGTAATGTCTTGCCCATTTATAATCTTTATAATCAGAAAATAATTTAGTATTTTCCATCATTCTTTAGAAACCCAATTAAAATGTATTTCTAATTAAAATATCTAATTTTATTATAGCACTAAATCATATATAGCTGTTTAATCGATCACTGACAGAACTGCCTTCAAATCGTAAAGTTTCATCGACACCGTTATTAACATATAAACAAGAAGTTTAGGATAGCTTTAACCTGAACTACTACAAGTATTAAATCTTGATCTCATTAGCATTCGATTCGATACTTTTGCTTTGTTTTCTGTTTTATTTTTCGGGGGACATTATAGAGTTATTATATACAGATGTTCTACCGATTGGCTTTTGTTAATCACAGAGTTCTTAAGCGATTTATAGAAAGAGCGAGCGTAGCATAGACTTAATTAAGGTTGCGGTTAGCTTAGTTCCTAAGAGATGGCGTTTAAATAAATGAGAATGCAATTAAATAATTAGGAATTAACCAAAATGAAACCAAAAGAGAAACATGCTCAAGCAATGAAAGAAATATTTAAATACACAGGTGATGTATGCTTTCCCTCAGAGATTTAGTATTTTTTGTTACATTTCCAGCTTTTTGTTTTATTTACGAGCCGTTAGTTTAATGTTTATTAACAGTGCGTGGTGTGTGCGTGTGAGGTGTGTGTGTAAATGGTAAATTTCAACAATTTGTTGCCTTTGGTTTTTTTTAAGGTAGTTTGGGTTTGGTTTATGTTTCTGGCGCCAAGACAAAACACATTTAAATGGAATAACATTTGTTTTTTGCAATACTTTTTTTTTTGTATGGTGAGTTTTATGTTTTTGCAGCATTTTTGGAATAAAATGTTTGCCTCTCTCGGTTGTAGTTGTTGTTGTTGTTGTTTTGTGCGAGCTGAGAACGTTTACCTGCTGCTGTTGCTGTTGCTGCTGCTGCTGTTGCTGTTGCTGCTGCTGCTGCAGTTGCTGCTGTTGCTGCTGCTGCTGCAGTTGCTGCTGCTGCTGCTGCCGCTGGGCACGAACTGCAGCATTCTGCAGCACAATCACGGATTCAGTCTTTTCGCGACGCGGTCGCAGGAAGTTGAAGCTGGCCAAGGATTTGGAAGCCTTGGGTGCAGCTCCCTTGGCTGTTGGAGCTGCTGGCGTGGCTGCAGCATTCTCCTTTTGGTTCTTGTTGCTGCTGCTGTTGCTGCTGCTGATGCTGCTGCTTGTGAGGCTGCTGTTGTAAATGCTGTTCCTTTGGTACATGGCACTGGCTCTAGCTGGTTGTTGCTGCTGCTGATTGGATCCTGTTACCGTTCCCGTTCCCGATCCAGAGCCCGAAGTGGTGCCTCCACTCAGCACTGCCGAATGGCGCTTGGTCAGCGGAAAGAAGTCCGAATTCTCGCGCCGAAAACCTCGGACAAAGTTCATCGGTAGCTTGGAGTCGGAATCCTGACGCTTGTGCGCTTGTATGGAACTGGAACTGGAACTTGGTCCCTGATCTTTGGCAATACTTTGGCTGGCACTCGTCTCGGCGCCCTTCAACGGCTGATAGCCACGTGGCACTGGTCTCGTTATGGCCTCCGCCACACTGGCCCGCTGCAGCTTTGTGTCCACTTTGAGTGTGCTCAGCTGCGAGCTCCTGCTCAGGCTGGCCGTGGTCGTGGGGCTACTGTTCTCGCTTCCACGATTGCTATTACCTCTCGGTCCATTGGCATTCTTGGGGAAGAAGCGATCAAAGTCCCAATCCCTCAGCAGACGGGAGTCCTGGTCACCGCGGACACGCGATGAGGGCGGTGTTACATTGGCATGTGAAGTCGAGGCGGACTTTTGCAGGCGATTAATGTTGTTCTGCTCTAGTTTCTATTTTTATGTGTGTTCGATCGGTTTCATTTCAGGATATTCAGGATTTTCAGGATTTGATTTGGTTTGTATTGATTTTCAGGGAGGAGTAGTAGTTGTTGTTGTTGTTGTTGTAGTTGTAGTTGTTGTTGTTGTTTGTGAGTACGCAGCAAGAGAAGAATTGTGTTAAGTTTTTTGGTCGGATTTTTTGCATACTTAGAGAAAGGCATTCTAAATACACTGAACAACAATAAATTAGATAAAAAACACCAAAGCCACAAGAGAAAACTGTAGAGATTGTGAAGCTGATTTTCTTTTAGGTTGCTAAAAATTTAAAGCTGTCAATTATTTCATTATGTTCTATATCAAAATCAAACACTTAGGACCAATAAGTAACAAGTCTAGCTTTACTTTATACTTTTGGATATACTTTTAACCTGAACGTTAAATGAAAAGTGTATAAAACCTATATGAAAGCTCAGATAACTGACATCTAAGCTTGTAATATTGTAAAATGTATTAAAATTTATAACAATGTTGACATTTTTCTTTTATATAAAAGTTGGTGTTAAATTTTGACGTTAAGATTGTTGTTGAAACTCGACTTAATATATAATTTTTGATATTTTCCCAAAAGTACAATATATTTAATATTATTATATGGTGATTCTTCAATTTTCGTTCTATTTATAATAACATTCAGGTTAAATTTACCAGTTACGATATTGATTTTCAATCAATTCTGCAAAAACTAAAACAATGAAATTTTTCCATCTTTAAATAAGCAATCAATAGATAAATCTATTTTCAGAACCTCTATATGATCCTTCATCTTGTGGTGTTGATAATAAATCCAATTTTTGTTGACCAGTGATTAAAGATAGTTGGGGATTCTTCTGCCACAAAAAAAACCCACCGCAGCATGGAAAGTTTTTCATGAATTCTGCTTCTTCTTCAATCCGGTCGCATATATATATATATAATACTATATATGGGGTGTTTTGTGCATATAGTGCATATATATAGTCATGTATGTACAATGTTTCGATCGTGTCAACACATTCTATGCATCAGTGCATTTATATATTCATATTCATATTCATATTCATATTCATACATAGATGCAACATCACACATGGCTCAAATCAAAAATATACACAAAGAGATTTTTTATACAAAATCAAGTAAAGATGAAATCAAATTTGGAAAAGAAATTTACACAAAAGAGATAGTAAAATTCACGAAAAAGATTTCACACTGCTTACGCCATTAAGTTACTATTAAATTAAAATATAATCAAATATATCAAAATCAAGATTAATTCAAGTTCAAAATAAATTTAGTAAGGAAATCAAATTATATATATATAAATATTTTAACGCATTTAATGTTTTTCATTTGCTAAAAGAGAACCACAACCAGGTTTAACTTAATCAATATTACGCGTTTTTTAATTTAGGTTTATTCTTTAGTTTTATTTTATTTTAATTATTTTATTTTTGAGGTGGCAGACCTTTAACCCTACAAAAGCTAAATTACAATTTTTTGTACAATTTTCACCGCCGATTCCTTAAAATCAGCTGCCTAGACCTTTGAATATTAATATTTTGCATCTCATCAGTTGAAATTAAAAACAAAAAACTAAAAACAAGTCTGTCCAGGCAATGCACTTCAGAAGCTTTGGATTTTCTCAGAGAATGCAAATGCATGGACAGTGTGTGTAAACTAAACTAAAGATAGATTCATACGCATATATGTGAGGATAAAGAAGTTGATATCGAATCTGATGGAATATCTCAAGATAGAGCCTACTTACGCGCTTCATGATCAATGTGCGATCTCCGGCCTGATCGTCATCATCCGGCGTGGGGGGCAGTGGACGATTAGGCGGTCCTCCGCTGCCGTGGCTCAACGGCGTCGTATTGGCGTCCTCCGAAACTGGTCCCAAGCCAGGCCTATATGAAAATTCGGGTCTGAACATAACGAAAAACCAAAAAGCACAAAAAACAAACACAAATCGAAAACGAAAAAAGGGGCGGCAAATCGTTGTTGTTTTGGTGACAATGGAAATGATATGAGGAGTGGATTTAAGGTGTATCAGGTGTGGGTAAAGGTGGTAGGTAGGTCAATCAATGGAGTGTTTAAATGGGTGAGAGACAAGAATGTAGTGAAGTTAGGGTTAGTATTCAAAGAGATGAAGGTGTTCTTCTAATTGGGGACCGTAAACATTTATTTCAATACCTTTATAATATATCTTGATCAGTAATTAACTATGAGCAGTAAGTAACTCTGAACAGTGAGTATCTATGACCAGTAAGTAAGTATGATCAGTAAGTATCTATGATCAGTTAAGATATATATAGCTGACATATAAACAATCGGACGATTTAAAGAACTATGCTCAGTAATTAACTATGATCAGTTATTAACTATGAGCAGTAAGTAACTCTGAACAGTGAGTATCTATGACCAGTAAGTATGTATGTATGATCAGTTACTAACTTTGAACACTAATAAACAATGACTTGCAACTTTTGTAACACAACACATATCCGAGACTTGACTGGAAGCAGTCACTTCGTTCCGGGGATGTTAAAACCAGTTGGGAATCATATTCACAGATGTGCGAGATTTCTTTTGGAATAAATTTAAGCTATTTTACTGAAACTATTGAGTTATTCTTAAATATAATTTTACTAGTGTATAATTCGGAGCATGACGAATCGGTGGACTACATATATACATATATATAGCTGCTATAGGAACGATCGGAAAATTAAAAAAAAAAAACTTTATAACTTTTCCAGTTTTCAACCGATTTTCAACAAATTTAAGATATAGCCATTATATATTAATCTAGATTTTTGTAGAAAATACTATGAAAATCGGACTACTATATCTTATATCTGCCATACAAACGATCGTTAAAAAAAAAGAAAAATATATAATATTAAAGATTTCTATTTACGGTCCCCTGTTTTTTTTTTATTTTGTGAACTGTTGCCATGTTGCATTTTTGATTTGTACAATTTTAATTGCTTTTGCAAACTGCCACGCCCCTTCTTTGTGTGCTCGTACTTACAGCGGCTTGGGTGGATCGCTGGCCAAGAGTGTGCCATCATTCCTGGCCCGATCATTGGGCTCATCCGGCTCACTGTCCGAATCGCTGCTATCCAGGGGATCCAATGGATTCACTGGCTGACCAAGATGATTGTTACCCTGCTGTGGCAGTGCTGCGGCTGGCTTTGATGATGAACCGCCGCCGGATGCGGAACCACTGGAAGACAGGCCGCTCGATTGGCGATTATTACGTGGCGGCGCCTCCGGTTGCGCCTGCTGCTGGGATCCCTGGATCCCGGCTGTCTGGGGCTGCGGCTGTTGGGAGGAGACCACGCCCAATTCATTTAATTGTGCTGCTAACACATCCAAATGATCCTACAGTTTTTACAATACATTTCGTTTTCGTTTTTTCAGGGACAAAGGAGGATTTTTGTGTGTGTTGTGTTGTGTTGTATTGTGTGTGTTTGGTGTTGTGTGTATTTTGTCGAGTGTAGTTTATAATTTGCACATTATACCACGGTAGTTTTTATATTTGTCGATCGGGTATTTGATTGGGAGGGAACGAGAAGTAAGAGAGCATTAGATTGGTTTTCTTTCCTTATAGATAAAAAACAATCAGAAAACGCCAGGCGAACAAAAGTGTGTGAACTTGGAATCCAGAAAGATCAGCGTTACACAGAGAAACATTATTGGGTTAGAAGGCTTCGGTGGTTAGTTCTTATCTACTCTTCAGTTAGTTTGGAAAACATTCCCATTTCGGCATTTTACTTTGATTGTTGGTAATGGCATTAGAAATGCATCAATCAATGCTCCATATAAACATAGCAGCAGGAGATAGATATCAATCTACGATTTTTTAAGGGTTAGTCAAATGGGTTTCTCCGTATCATTAAGCTTTGGAAATTTAGTTTAGAAGTGTGGCACGTGCAAAAGGTGTATAATTTTGGGGTTTGAGAGTTATACAAAGGGGTTTTTGTGTACCTCCATTAGATTTGTACATTAATTTTGACTAAGTTCCAAAAAGGGGGTTTCAAGGGAGGATTTTTAAGGATGTTACACATAGAAAACAATCGATATGAAGAGCATTGCAGGATTAAAAGGTGTTGGAGTATATATTATTGGAGTGTTGGAGTATATATTATTTTTATATTTTCTTTAAAATTTTCTAGTTCTGCAACGCTCTTCATGTTTTGAATGTATGCAAACTTTATAGGATACAAAAGAACTCAAGCAAGTGAACAAAAAAAGAGAAATACAGATGCAAAACAGGCTTCGAAACTGAAAATCATAGGACATACCTCAGGTCTCCTTGGTGGTAACTGTTGTTGTAATTATTGTTGTAATTGTTGTTGTTGTTGTAGTCATGATTGTTGTGTATTAAATTTCAAGTGTATTGTTCAAAGTGTCGTTCGAAAATCATACGTTGGATTATAACGGCGCAACGGGTTGATGTACACATGAGTCAAATCATAAATCGAGAGTTATGCATATATATATATATATATAATATATATAGTTTACAGGTTTATCAATGCATATATATGGTATATAAATATATATATTTATAGATTATATGTAGGCGCATATAACATGAAAATAAAAAAAGAGATATATAAATTAGGATAAGATATGAATGGTATATCAACATTTACATGGCTTCACATATGGGCAACATAAAAATCTAACTACATTATCAACAGGGGGGAGAGGCTACAATATATACGGGTGGCATACGGGGCTTGGGTTTAAGGGCATCCTTCACGTATAGATTTCCCCCCCTCAATCTCTCGAGAAGTCATTGCTCCAGAGACCTCCCCATGAGATCGAATTTCCCGATTGCCTTATCGGCCGTAGCCACCGCCTGGCCTCACAGAATTCATTTTCTTATTTTCAGCCCTGCCCTCTTCTTGCCGCTAATCTTCGCCCGATACGCACCGATGGCTTGAAGTTATTCTGCGAGTTACGCTGCAGCTGCTGCGGCGTCTGTCCCGCCGGCTCCCCGCATTTGGGGGTCGGTGGCAATGGCCGATTGGCATGCGGCGGATCCGGCACCACGATCAGGCGCTGTGGCGGGCGTGCCGGCGGACCCAGTTCCTCGATCGGCTGGCGCTGTACGGGAAATATATATATATCTGATTTAATATGTTAATTTTAAGGTTATAGTTATCCCTTACCGATGGCGGTTTCTGCTGGCGATTGGCCTGTGGCTGCTGGGCCTGCGCCTGCTGCTGCTGCTGCTGCTGCTGGGCGGCCTGTGCCTGTTGCGCTGCATGGGCTGCCGCCGCCGCTGCTGCTGCGGCCTGTTGTTGCTGCTGCTGTTGCAACTGGGCCTGGGCCTGGGCGGCGGCATGTGCCGCTGCTGCCTGTGCCTGAGCCTGGGCCATCAGGTGATGTTGCTGCTGCTGCTCGGCGGCTATGCGACCCTCCTGGATCTGCTGGAAGTTGCGACGCAACGTATCACCGCCCGGTGCCTGGACAATGGAGCTGTGCTCACCGGCCAGCTGCGGTTCGTCGTCGTCGTTGTCGGAGCCCGAGTAGCGATAGTCCTCGCGTTCCTTCTCCTGCTTGCGTTTCTTGCAGCGATCGATGTGATCCTTCAGCTGGATGCGCACCTGGCGATCTGTGGGCTGGTCCTTGATGAAGGCATGCTTCAGCAGGTTCTCGGTGTAAGGCCGCTGGTGATAGTCCTTTACTGTATGTGGAGAAATAATAAAGATTAGTATGGTAATGTATTTTATAGACAATTTCATAATCAAGCTAAACATGATATGGTTTCTTTCTTCCGTAAGACAGTTTCTGAGAAAATTTAGGGTTTCGATAAGCAGCTCACTGCAATGGCAGAATTTTTCTCATTAATTTTGGACCCCACACCAGCTACCAGTGACCAGTTAACAATTCCATTGGATTGCATTCAATGACTCACCTAGCACCGTGTCAATGAAGCTTTGGAACTTCTTGGTCCACTTCTTCGATTTAAGTCGCGGCGGTGAATTGCGCGGAATCAGGAAGAGGGCTCGCATCGGATGCAGATCGCAAAGCGGAGGCTGTGACTCAGCCATCTCCAGGGCGGTGATGCCCAGCGACCACAGATCGGATCGGTTGTCGTATGTGGCATCGGGATTCTCGTCGCAGGCAATGACCTCGGGGGCCATCCAGTAGGGAGTACCTATATAGATGGAGAAAACGAAAGCCAGTTTAGCAGGTAGAGACAGGTGACTCATCGATATGAATACTCACCGATGAATGTGTTGCGCCGGCCTATCGTTCGATCCAGCTGAGCCGAGACACCGAAATCCACCAGCTTGACCTCCGCATTGTCCGTGAGTAGCACGTTTTGACCCTTGATATCGCGATGAATGACCTTGTTCGAGTGCAGGTAACTCAGGCCACGCAGGATTTCGCGGCAAATGTAGGCAATCCATTCCTCTTTTAAACTCTGACCCTTGGTGGACTTGACCAGGTCTGTGACTGAACCAGCACCGCAGTATTCCATCACCAGCCAAAGCTGATCATCTTTACCCGGCGGCGACTTTTTGATAAAGGCTCCATAATAGGTGGCAATGTTGCGATGATTCGAGTATTTCTTTAGCACATTGATCTCGAGCTTGATTTCCTCCTCCTCATCCTCGGTGACATCCATCACCTTTATGGCAGCCAATTGACCAGTCTTCGTGTGACGACCCTGTAAATTGAATAAAGAAAGGGGATTTTAGTTAGTAAAACTAAAAAATCACTTGAAAATGATATTCTTTTAGTGCGAAAATGCCTTAATCTTGTGCACTGACCAATATTAAACTCATACTTGACATTTCCAGAACTCGGTTCATTGCGACATTGGTTCTGTTTAATGCACTTCAAGCTTCAGCAGCCTTCATTATGCACTTGACGACAACAAGACGATGGCGACCATGAAGGCATTGACTAGTGCAACGCTTTTTATATATATACTCTATATATTCTATATATTCTTATATAGTATTTACAAGTCCCTGCCCCCGTGAGGCGTCAACAAACTGCGACGCATAAAAAGTGATTAAGTAAACAAAAGCCGCCTGCCTGCCACAACAACCTCAACCTCAACAACAGCATCATCATCATCATCATCATCATCGGCATTGGCTTCGACTCCAATGAAATCAAACAATAGAGACCAGGAGCCGACCAGAGTGGAGGGCAGAGAACTTTGTCTGGAGAGGAACCAGAGAGCTGAGTAGAGCAGAGGAGAGCATCAACCTCAAGTGGGGTAATGTGTCTGCTCAATCAGAGTGTCAAGTAGTTAAGGTAAACATGCCACAAATATCTATTCAAGAGTGGCGACGAAGGTGACTAATTCAAGGCCTGAAAAGGAGTGACTAAAAAAGAATGTAGATACTGAAAGGAAGAACTATAAGAAGTCTAGAATTATGTATAGTAACATTTTACCAAGGCAGGGTAAACATTTAAAACCATTAAGTAGTGTTTGTATAAATATTTATCTTTACAAAGTATATTTGAAGTCTTATTTTAAGAAAGACTCAAAAGATAAGATAAACTGAGAGAGTATTTATATTAAGTAGACTTTCTTTTTACCTCTGATAAACTAAGTTAATAACTATTCAAATTTTAAGATTTTTCTCATCTTTTAACTTAGCTGCTGCAAATTCTCTTGAACAGATTTAATAGCTTCAATTAAATCCCTTAAGCTTTCTAGTCACGTCTTAGTCTGAGTGTTTTTTGGCCCAACCCAACTAGTTTCAATTAGATACTTGCCACTTTAATCAAAACTCACAAATTGTTTTTATATATATATATTTTCTCTCTGGCTTCTTCCGGCCAAGATTGAGTTGTCCTGACCAACCGGTTCTTCTTAGTTTTTGTGTGAAGAGACTGATGCTCCTTGGTCCAACCAACTAACCAACCAGCATCTCATCTTTCCGTGGCTGCTGTCGTGTCTCCTAAGCCGCTTTTAAAGTCATTTTACATTTAATACAGTTTTAATTGAGTGAGCAGGAGCAGCAGTGAACGAGCACAGGCTGGTGCTAGTGGTGCTAGTGGCTGTTCCATCCATAAATCAAAATGCTTAACGAGAGATGATAACGATTTAAGTGACGACGACGATAGTCAGACGGCAACAACATCTATGACGAGGATGGACAGGCCAACGATGACTATGTTGCTTTTCTCTGGTATAGAATAATGTTGCCCCTTGGGCTGTTCAATGTTCACTTTAAGCGAGTGATTATAATTTGGTTACTAGTTTGAAATTCACAACCTACGGAACTATATCTTTCTTAGATTTATATCTGTAAAAGCAGCAAAGTGATGACTATATTTTTGGGTAACTTTTATGACTGACAAATTTCTTAGTTCAAGTTTTTATTAGTTTCAAAATGAGTTGGTAATAAATTTCCTTGGAAATATTGGAGGTTTGTGGTTTTACTACTAAGAAATTTAAATATTTCCCATTCAACTAACACATTTTATTACTTAAAACAAAAAACCTATTTATATATTTAAAATAAGAAAGTAAAGCCATAAAGTTTGACTTTTGGCAGTTAGTTTTGTAAAAAAAATTCCTCAAATTAAGGATTTAATAGTAAATTCCCCCAACATATCACAAAACAACTATTTTCAAAGTTTATTTCATAAAATTTGTTAGCTAACTTCCAGTAATATCTTTATAATAGTCATAAAAACTTTCTAGTTTCAATGATAAAACACAAATACCCTCTTCTATCTATAGGGTATTCCCATAATTCATATAGCTAAAGAAAAACCTGTAATTTTCTTTCCGCTTATTGATTAGTTAGACGAGGCGTTACACCATGGCTAGATTCTATCAAAATGTTATTAAAAACTATATGGAATACCCCAAGAGCGGTAGGAGGAATTGGAGAATGTCTTGGCCATCATCGCATCATCATCATCATCATCGTCAGATTCTAACTGTGCTGCAGCAGATTTTATGCAAATTAATGACATGCACTAATGGAGCCAGACTAGAGAGAAATTGTGCATGGAGAAATCGATTAGGCGGGGCTAACACACATAAAAAACATCAAATTAAATTAAATAAAACGGGAAGTTGTCGGATTTTTTAAGTGGATTCCCATTTCAACCGAAAGTTATCAAAGCAGCAAGATGATTGCCGCAATTAATACAAAGAAAGACGAGTGTTTGTGAATCACTCACGAGTGCATTCGCAGTCGCACTCTCACTCATCAGATACTCGCCGACAGCCTGGTTCCCCTTCCCCCATTTTCTTCTTAAAAGCCCAAAAGCAAATAGAGCTAAACAATCCGCAGAAATAAATAAACAAAGACGCTGACGGTGACGACGACGACGACGACGACAAGCCTTTTGCCATATAAAGTTCCGCCGCCACCGACAATGGAAAGAAAAAATCGCTGAATTTGTAATATTATCGAAAATGTGAAAATGTTTTCAAAGGTAAAGTCAACAATGGAATGGTATGGAGTCGACTTGGTGCAGCTGTCTGGTCCGATTTGGGTTTGGATTTGCCTACCTATGCACAGAGATGGTTTATGATTACACCATATATAAATACACGACTCCAGCACGAGTATCTGATGGATATCACACACTCACAGTCACCGTCTCAGATACAGATACAGATACAAGGCGCCAAGGCAAGTATAAAATAAAATCAAGCGTGAAAAGAAACCCAAAACAATAAAACAATCAACCCGATGATATGCCACAAATATACTGATATATGGGGGCAGTAGGGTGGACCATCTTACATAGGAAACAAGATTATAGAACTTTAATAACAATAGCATGACTTATGGTTTTTATTTATTTTGGTTAGAAACAATTAAGATTTTGCTGAATATAATACTTATTCTTTGTAAAGATTAATTGCTATCAGAGTTCGGTCGAAGGGCAACACTGCGTATGAGTAATCACATTTAAAGGATTTAATCTTTAAATCTAAATAAAAGGTTTATTTATCTTCAAATTTATAGAATGAAAGGGGCAACACTGCGTATGAGCAATAATATTTGCAGGAATTAATCTTAATGTAATTCTTTTAATAACTAAAATACCTATGAAATAGAAGGTTAATTTATAGAATGAAAAGGGCAACACTGCGTATGAGTAATAAGACGTTTCATACAAAAAATCCCTAATTCATATAAAATATCTTGGAATGAAAGGGACAACATTGCGTATGAGTAATATGCAGGAGTAAATCTTTTATAATGACAAATATATGTAATAATTAAAGCAATATTTAACCTATAATATCACTTCTATAATAGATAAACCTTTTCTAAAACAAAATAAACAAGTCCCGCCTTAAATTCTACAAACAAAAGACACTATGGACAATGTGCAATTGTATCTACAAGTAAAATAACTGCATAATCAGGCAAAACAAAACAAAAAAAATGTTCTCATCAAGTTTTTTACATATATATAAAAACACGATCGTATTATATGTATACCTAAGACATAACACATGGCAAACTTTTTGTTGTGGAAACTTCAACAACAACAACGACGCCCCACTTCCCCACCTTTTCAACAAACTATGCAAGTTGTGGGGTATAAATTGTTGACAAAAATTGCACTATAAGTGTAGGAAAAAATGCACAACTGAAACTGACAGACAGAAACAACAAAAAGAAAATTTTGTTGTGTTTGCTGATAAGGGAGCAGAGCAAAAAAATATATATATTTATATATATGTACATATATAAGTTTATAAACTCGAGTCGGAAATTGGCGTTGCATAAGAGGAAAAAATGCAGTCAAGTGCCTGCGCCTTCCTCTTCTCTCCCCTTATGACTCCATTAATGGCATTGTAAAATGGCCCAAAAAAAATAAGATCAACTTTTGGACATGTTTTTCAAGTTGCCTTAACTCTTGGAACGCAAATTTGTAGATGGAAACAAAGTGTAGAAAGGGGCCAGAAAAGAGTAATGCATACTATTATAGAATGTAAAAAAAATAAAAAAGAAAATATAGAGATAGAGATAGTTTTCTTTTCTGTTTTGCTAGTGATAAGGCTAGAAATCCAACGGAACAGACATGTGTTCTTAAAAGGAATATAAACGACGAGGAAATGGAAATGTTTTATTAGATTAAACGAAGTGAACAGGAATCGAGGAAGTCGGGAAAACAGTGAAAAATTAGGTCGCCAAAAAGGGGAAATGGCTAGACTACCAAGACAATGTAAGCAAAAGATGAAAAGAGCTTTCAAAATGAATTAAAGTGGTTTTCTTTAAATAGGAAACTTTGTTTATTAGTTTATCCCAAAATAAAACTGATTAGAAAACCCTGATAATTAAATTCCATAGCTTAAACTAAAATAAAATACATAAATTATAAGCAGCGACCTTTTGCTATCCCATTTAAATTATGAACTTTCAGTTAATTAACTCTCCACATACCTTTAATAAATTATAATCCTACAAGAAGCAGTAAAATCAGATTTTCCCTGTTCCATTTCCCCCATTTCCATGCAAATTCAAGCAATCAACTGGATGCCTTTGCAAATTGCCAGTACATCGACAAGCTGCTGCCACCACCCACCTGTCGGTGCTATTAAGTAACCCAAAGAGTGCTCCAACCACATCAAGACCCAAGGAAACCAAAAACCGCATTGTACTACTACATTTTTCATCTGCTGCCTGCCTGCCTGCCTGCCTCTGCCACCTTTCATTGAGCTCTCTG